ATCAAAAAGAATGGGGATACATATCATAAAAATCTTGTTTGATTGGGAACTTGGTTTTTCTTCCTGGATCCCTTTGATACCATCTTTGTAAGCCGGCATAGGACGGCTAAAACCTACATAGCATGGCATAATTCTTAGAAGACATTGGGCCGTTCCAGCTGAACTATGATAAATCTCCCAATATCAATATAAGTCTTGATAGTGCTGAATACAGCGTGTTATTTATTACAACATAGATCTAGTCCTTATAGGAAGTAAAAGACAGACAGCCGAACTTACCGAGTGAGATATCTGCAGCACAGGAACACAGAACATGACAGAGTCAGTCTTCTTCATTGACCCCACTGTCAAGTTCACTCGCCTGTGTCCGGCCAAGTGATCCCTACTTGATTTTACAAAGGTCTTCACATGGTAATAGTATAGACGACGCACAGGCGAACAAGAAGAACAGCCCGCGCTCCTTTGTTTAAACTTTCGGCCACGATACCACAGTGGGATCGTATTTCCCAATATTCACACAGGTAGCGGCCTACAATCTTTGTAGGCTCAACTTTGTTCACTATAACAATGCGTTTTGAAATGGGGTTTTATCCCGGGGATGGTTAGTTTGTGTTTGTTCTTTGTTTGGTGTTGTTTGTGTGTGTATGTGTGTGCGTGGTTTTTTGTTGGGCTTTTTTTTTTGGGGGGGGAGGGGTTGTTTGTTTGTTTTTTTGTTTGTTTTTGTTGTTGCTGTTTTTTGTTTTGTTTTGTTGTTGTTGTTGTTGTTTGTTTTGTGTGTGTGTGTTGTTGTTTTGTTTTTTGTTGTTGTTTGGGGGGGGGGGCTTGTTGTGGGGGGTGTTAATAAACAGCATTAAATTTTAGCTTTTGTAATTCCTCTTTCCGTTTTGGGGGGAGGAAGCTGTTTTCATGCAGCGTGTATTACTCTGTTTAGATTTCCGTAGAAAAATAGAATCGTTATAGAAATCTTGATTAGCGAATCCAGCTCGAAAGTATTAACTGACTATCTGATAAGGTATTGTCATATGGTCGTTTTGGGAAGTGGGAAAAATAGTTCATGTGAGTCTTTTCGCGGATTTAGATAGCCCTATATAAAGACTTCTTTTGCTTTGTTCCTTAAGTTCAGTTTGTCTTGGGGGGGGGGGGGGGGGTTAGACTGTAAATAATATATTTCTTCATGGGTAAAGCAAGCCTTCATGTTCAAATCCTGGTATACTAATTCAGTAATCCCTACTGGGCAATGTACTTTGACTCAAATAAGAATAAACGTCTTCTCAGGGGGGGGGGGGGGGTGTAGTTTCTTCTTTTTTTGCCCCCCCCCCTCCCCCCCCAAAAAAAAGGGTGGCCCACTTATGGTGTCTTTTAAAACCTTAAATCTTTTTTCGGGTCTACAATTAGCAATTAGGATTTTTTAGATAGATTTTTAACGCAATAAGTTTGCAGCATTGGCTGTACCTTTTTTATGCCAAGCTGAAGTGCTGCTTTTGCAGTTCGCAGTTAATCACCTCTCGCGTTGGCTGGACGCTAATGTTGTTAAAATGTTGTTACAAAAGCCCCTGGTCCTACATTTTCCATTGGCTTAGTGCCGAGTAGTTCTGATTTCTGTCTCGGTAACAGGATTACTACCTCCGGATTGGTTTCTACTTCTCCCGACAGGCTGGGTTATGTGGTGCTGAGATTTGACCTCTCCCACCTCAGTTTATACTTCGGACCTGTGGTAGGGGATTTTTTGTGCAGGGGGGGGGGGGTGAGTCATTCAGTACTTTTATCAGCCAGCGTGTTACAGTCGTTGCGATCTTGGCCAACAAGCTTCAACATAGCAGTCAGACTTCAAGAGAGGAAACATTTTTTCTAAACTTATCGGAAATGTTTCAGGAGGGGGGAGGTGGAATGCAAAGTACATGTTCCCCTTTTCTTTTTGCTACCTTAGAATTACAAGGTTCTATCTGCTCAGTGCCTAGTTTTGAGAAATGTGATGTTAAAAATGTTTGAGTTTCACAACATGTCAAGCTTTTTTAAAGCAGTTCTTTGAATATCTTGATAACGACTCTAAATAATCTTACGATTTTGATGGAACATTTGGTTTCTGACCTTATGGTCATAGTAACTCAAAACGGCCAAAATTGTAAGATACAACTTTGTAATTCTGAGATAGCGAGTTGTAAGGACGGTGTATTTCCAGTTTACGTTGCCGGAGTGAACAGCAGAATTTTTTTTTTTTTTGAAGTGACGGAGGCTGAGTGAAAATATTAATATGAGGTCTTCCTTCTTTAGCGGAAATGAGTAGAATAAAAAGGACAAGCATAATGGCATTTATGAGAAGTTCGACTTTCGAAAGAAATAGACATAGTAAAGCTTGAGCAGTCGAAATAATCCGTTAATAATGCACGTAATGTCGGGGAAAAAAAGAACCGATGTGAACTACTTGCAAAATAAGTCTAAAGGTGGTGGTGACAGTGGAAGATATATGAGAAGTGAGAAAGAATTGGCGAGAAAGGGAAGACGTCAAGAGAAACAAAATTGGGATAGAAAATAGAAAGCAGAGGCTATGATATTCTGAGCCTCATAGGTCTCACCTTTCAAAGACACGTTTTAACGAGGTGTCGGATTTATATAAGATATCACGCTGCTGGATAAACCAAGAGTCCCTGAGTAACGATGTTTGTGTCTTTCGTAATTAAAATGAAAGCATCGATATTATATAACAGTGAAAAACACTTCTGAAAAGAAGAATAATTAGCTCTGAATTTCAAACGTGCAATCATCATACACCTGACTCTAAAGAAATCCTGGGATCTAACAAAGGTCCCACAATAAAAAAACAACTTTCTTTTGGTGCCAATTAGGCTTCAACCATCCTCGTTATAGACGCACTCTCATATAAAAGTCACACTTTCTAGTCTTCAGCTGGGTGACAGTAGACATTCAGTCACTTCTCAATTGAGAATATGGATGATTTTGGGGGTGGAACCTTGATGAAGCTTATGATAGTTCTGGTGGGTTCAAACAGTTTCTCTCATGTGATGGAAGGGAGACATGTAACGGCAATTCCAGCATTTGTCACGGCGAATGTCACAGAAGAATTTCTGTTCGAGAAGAGTACTGATGCACCGTCAGCACAATATTACAAGCAGCAAGATCACACAACCCCAGAGAACTACCGGGACGCCATTTGCTCTGAAAGATGTAGAAATGGCGTGGTGGTTAGAAGTGAACAAATTGCCTGTTCCTCTTTCTCTTGTTTCCCTTGTTCGTGCCTAAGACCGGGCTGTGAAATCATGGGTAACTGCTGTCCAGAGTACACGGAAGATATAACAGACCAAACTACACCGATAAATAACAACGGCAACTTTAGAACAAACCTATCGTGGTCTTCTATTTTACCGGATGTCGCGACAACTCCTTCGGAGCAACAAATTAGCCGAAACCCAGTCAACAAACCAAAGGAAAATCTTCAAAAGATGTCTTCAGGCATTAAACCATCTGGTGGAGACAGCCAGAGAGTCACATGTGACGAAAGATATTATTGGAAGAACAAGCTGTTGTCTATTCGTTCTTGCCCGGAAAACTTTCCTAGCCTTGATATCAAGTCCCTCTGTGACCAGGATGTGGCCGGCGACCAATTAACCCGGAAGACAGAAACACGAGTGACAGACAACAGCACTGGGGTCACCTACCACAACTGGTACTGTAGCGTCTGCAACAACGCCACCCAGGTATGGCTTGTGTTTGCAGACTTCCAACACCTTCATGGCTGTCAACATTTGGACAGCAATATAAAACCACCATAGATCGCTCCTAAGTTTCCCAAACGTTAGTATCACGTTGTACCAAAGATGGTACACTGCATGCAATACATAAGTTTGCCTCTGTAATCAGTATATGAGGTCCTAAAAGCAGCCTCATTAATTCTGACAGCGACGCCGACACCTGTACTATTGTGAGTTGTATTCTATTGTAGGGAGCGCCAATAAGTCTGTTTCCGACCTTTGTGCAAAGTTTTATACATGTATTGCAGAATTCCATTTTCCTTTCGAAATAAACAGATGTTAAAAAGAGAGGAAGGTAGGCAAGTAGACAAAATGTGCGAGACGAAAAGAGAGGAGAAAGCAGATGTATTCTCACAGATAAGTTGACTATAATTTATACAAACAAGTAACATGTCTAGGGTTAGATTCCATTGTCTCGGTAAAATTTGATTAGAAATTTAATCTATCGCCTCGACTCCGTTTAACCATACGCTCTAAACGGTAAATGTTCTGTTACCTCCACAGCCAGTGACATGGTCGCTACGAGTAGACTGTAACCATTGCAGAAATGTGTTTTCTGCCACGGACAAAGATGAACTTTTACGTTTGGCGGCACAAGACGAATCAGCGTGTGATATCACACAAACTCTTCCCGAGGACGTGACTCCCGTCATCCCGTGCGCGCCCTCTTGGTTCCGCCCTGCCATCGACAGTTGCAACGTCACTGGTCAATGGGCCGAGTTTGATGAGGACATACGCCAAGCGTGTGAGGACACTGCTGGTTTCCATGACTACAAAAACAGAGTCCGTGACTTTCGACAAGATAAGAATAGAGTGTACAAAAATGTCTTCTGCGCTGTTTGCAACTCTGGGTCCTTTCCCGGACTTGGCAGCTGCTCAGATTCGGATGAGCTTAAGGGTAGTTATGGGACAAAGTTGGACAATAGATTTAGTCCTCCGTTTTCGTTTTTGCTTAACGTAGGAGAGCCTCATTCCAAATCTCCCATTTTCAAAGAACAATTTGGGGAGTGCAAAGACAACCTGTGGCTGTCTGGGAAGGGGTGTGATTATCTCAGTTGTACTAAGGGCAAAGTTCTCCAAAATGGTAGATGTGTCTCAGCACTGAGTCAAGTAAGGGGTCTAGGATACAATGTCAGACTCTGGTTTGTTCCCACTAAAGACTTGCATTATCAAATAGTAACAGGAAGTTTTTATTCTAAAATTAACGAAATTCATGATGCACTGAACGTGACGATGCAATGGTCTGTTTTGGGGGTTATGAGAGTTCTTATGGAATCAAGAACGAAAACATTCATATCACCGGCAGTTTTCTCGGCGCTTTTTCCTCTGACTGACTTCGTTCTTTGGTTGGACGCCGCCATTATGGCTGATAAACACATAAGCAGGGATGAGTTTGAAAGGCTTGCTGTTAAATATTTTTTCAGCGACGACATTAGTCTGAATTTAACTTACAATTCAAACTTAGAGCTTAAAGTTTTGCCAATGTCAAATGAGGTTCAACCGGCATCTTTCTGCTATATGCCGCGAGTACTGTGCCGCGTCAGAGAGGTAAAACTCAGAGATAACTTGCCGTACAATCCAGTCCAAACTCGTCAGGAAATAAGGAAAAATTTTCTTAGACTATCGCCATTGCGTGTGTGCACACAAATTCGTTTCAATTCATCGGAATATTCAATTGAGTACGGCGCAAAAAATTCAGGGGACCCGGTATTCCCTGTAAGCAAAATTACTTTCGTCTTGCCGTTCGCTACAGTAACTCTGGCCACCCTTGAAGATTTTCATCAGATAGAATTCTCTTACAAGGGAATTCTCTCTGTTTGCTCTGACTTCTTGATTAATAAACTCGGGCGCAACGGCTTTGATGTTCCAAATTCTATCAATGATGTAGAGACGAACCAATATATCCTGACAGTAATTTGTATCTCTATATCAATTCTTTGTCTAGCTTTAACTGTATCAAGCTATTGTTTCTTTCCTGTTCTCTGCAATACGGCCGGGCTGAACAATGTGAGTCTTTGTCTCACTCTTCTGTTCGCTCAAGTTGCTCTTGTTGTAGCTGTCCATCTCCAGAAGTACTTGCCACAAGGGGGGCTAGTGTGCATAGGCTCAGGCATCTTGACACACTTTCTGTGGCTCTGCATGTTTTGCTGGAGTTTTGTCTGTTGTTTTCGCGTATTCAAAGTCTTCACTTCGGAGACTCGGTTAAATCGCATGCCATGGATCACTAGAAAATGTGAGCTCGGAAAGAGCTGGGCATTTTGCCTTATTGTTCCTTGTGTCATCATAGGGGCTGTGACAGCCGTTTCTTATACGATCACGAAAGGCCACAGCATTGGCTATTCCCGATGCTACCTTGACTCTGCTATGTTGATTGGTCTGGCAATGATGATGCCGATTGGTCTTGTCGTTCTCGGTAATCTAATTTTCTTCTCTGTCACTATTGTCAAGATCCGTTCTGTATTGCAGCTCCATCCGGGTAGAACCAACGGGCGAAATGAAGAAAAGAACCTTTTCTGCGTTTACATTAAATTGTCATTTTTAACGGGCGCTTTCTGGACACTGGCCATTGTCTCTGAAGTTTTAGACAGCGATCCACTCCGATATATGGGAATCGTTACAAACGGTTTGCAGGGTGTCTTTATATTTGTGTCATATGCGTGCAACCCGAGGGTTATCGGTCTTTACAAGCAGAAGTTTGGGATTTCAAATCGCTAAAAAGAAATCAACGAATAAACCTAATGACAATGGGTGACGACCGCAAAACTCTCATCTTGAGAAGATCTACCGCTAATAATAACTTGGCCCTCAACAGTTGCAGACATGTTTGGCACATATATTCACGGCCGACATATAATCTTCAGTTCCCGCTGGGCGGAGCACAGGGTTCTTTACAAATTGGGTATTTACACGGGAGGTCGAGTTCGAATCCTAGCGCATTCACTGTTTGGCTGTTTTGTTTTCATTATTGCGGCTCTCTTGTGACAACAATATCAGCCCAACGTCTCGTCATAGGGTCATGTGTGCAAGTACCCCACATTCGATGTAAATTAATTATAATTGTACAAAGTCGTATTTGTCTTTGCAAGGCATTCTTCTTGTGCCGGTGTTAGGTCTAGAGCAGACTTTGACGATCGTGGTGCCCCTTTCGTCTTACATGAATACAAGTGACCTAAAGTAGTTTTTCATGCTTCACTTTGTAAGTGACTTATTATGTTCCTTATCACGAGTTGCGATATATGCGTCATTTTGGGGCCGTTTCTAATCGAGATATTTTCGTTTTAAAGTTCCCATTGCGATTTGTCAGCGGTGTATCTTAACGTTTTATATTAACTCCATCCAACCCTCGACACCAGTAGCCATCAAGCGTCAAAAAGATTTTTGGAATTGCCGAAAAAGCCAAAATTTAACCTTCGAAAGATTTTCGAAATTGCTCCCTTAATTTTATATACCCAATTATCAGTCATCTCGAACTGTTGACTATCCCCCTTTCTTTGTGGTCTTTTTGTACCGCTATCGTATCAACTCACCCCAAATTCTAACTCAGTGACTCCAGCTATAGGCCTACCTGACAAAGCTACTGCTTTGTTGTTGGTGTGTTTTATTGTCTACATTCCTGGGGGGATAAATGAGTTGAGGCAAAGAATCCAAAGTGTAACACTAGTCAGAACCTGAAATACAAGTCATTGCGGTCGTGAATAGCCTAGCCTTCGCCACACGAAGCTATGATGTTTGTACGCCTTTGACACGAAGCATGTATTAAAGAAACAATGAAAGTGTTTTGGGTTGTTTGTTGATCTGTTTGGGGTTTTTTGTCTTAGGGGAAGGGGTTGGATTGTTAAAAATGTCTTTCTTTCTTTCTTTTTACCCCCCCCCCCCCCCCCCCCCTCGTCGTCTAGTACATTTTATCTTAATTTCTCTCTGATAGCATAATAGACACAACTTCATTTTTTGTTAGCTTGATTAGTTTGTTTGTTTGATTAGTTTGTTTGTTTTTGGTCCAAAGATCTGATCTTAATTACATTCCTTTTACGTTCCTCTTCTTCCATCTGAAAAAGGAGTAATGAACTGATCCCACGACTGGGAGAAAGACGAGCTTTTATTTATCATGATTACCCTCCCTCCTGCATGTTTACTATTTCTTGCTATTATTTTTAAATTAAAAAATTTTGATAAGTGTTTTACAGCGCTCGCAACTGCACAAGGTCATATGAGCGCGCGGGACACTTTAAACATTTTCAGTTTGCAGGAAATTTTGAATTTTGCCCGGGTGGTGGCCGAAGCTTACTCTTATCGATTTTAGACCACCAAGGGATCTTTAACGTGCACAACTTGCACACGGGTCCTTCGAGATTTTTAGCTCTTGTCAAAGAAGGCTAGGTGTAGATCTTTCCTACCCGAAGACCAGGGGCGTGGCTGAAAAACAGCAGTAAGAAGGAGCCAGGGAGTGGCAGTGAAAGGACTGCAGAAAGAGTCAGGAGCCCAGAGGAGGGGGCAAAGGAGGTGAGTGGGTGGGGGCAGAAAATGGAGACGAAAGCAGACGACAGAATAATAATATAATACTGTTAGAGAGCAGGAAAGGAGATTAAAGGAGACAATTTCAGAGAAGAAAATATTTCCGTCTCTACCGGATTCGAACCCGGGACTTTTGAACACATTAACCTCTAGCCCCCCCATGTTACTTTGAGTAGGGTTTTGGAAACATTAAAACCGAATTAAGGTAATAAAATAAAACAGATCTTGATAGCAAATAAAGCAATTGTATTTACATTTTCTCGAAGTTCGATTTTTTTAAACGTTTGTTCAATTTAATTTTATTCACACCCCCCCCCCCCCCCCAAGCTCCCTCGCCCTTTCCCTCTCTCTCTCTCTCTCTCTCTCTCTCTCTCTCTCTCTCTCTCTCTCTCTCTCTCTCTCTCTCTCTCTCTCTTTTTTTCCACTATATTCCTCCCAAGTTTCCGGGTTCATGGCTTCCCCCCCTGGGGGTTCAGTTTGTCTGTTCTGGGGTCTCCGATATGCCCTGAACACAACATATGAAAACACACACACACACCCCTACACTCACACACACACGCACACACACACACACACACACAAACACACACACACACAAACACTCACACACACACACACACACACACACACACACACACACACACACACACGCACAAACGAAAGCACATTAAAATTTCACCGCTCTGCATCGATTTATCCAAATGATAAGTATCTGTGCCTGTTTCGTTGTTTGTTTGATTTACAGGGAAACACGAAGACATTTCGTGCCTTATTTAGTTGTGTAAAGAAAAAAAAACAATGGACAGAAATCGTTAGATTGAAGGAAGAAGACGTACTGTGAGAACCTTTCTGCTCTCTGTAGGACGTTACTGAGTGTGGGCAATGATAGTAAATAACAAGATGGGCCACTCAGCCAAAAAAGTGTCCGCAGGAAGTATGCTCTTTGCTTCAGATGGCGCTGCAGTCTGTTTTGAAGCTCTCTTTCGTTTTTCCAGAAGAAGAATAGGAATAGCACCTCCTTGCGTGCGCAGATCGACTGCTGTTCATCAGCAGTTCGGGTACGTTCAGTGCGGAGTTTTAGGGTTTTTAAAAATTTTAATGACCTCTCGCCTTTCATTCTAAAGTCAAATTAAACAAAGAAAACCATCACCCTTTCCTCCGGAAGAGGTTTTTTGTCAGCGTAACCATTTTAAAAAAAGCGTTCTTCCTAAATTTATCCCAAAACTTGCTAGTTTCACTTTGATTTTTTTAAAACTCAAGTAGGGTAACTCTGTTCGCAAAGAGTGCGCTTTTGTGAAGAGGGCGCCACCAAATTTTGAGGACACTTTTTTAATTGGCTCAAAGAGAGAAGTGGCCCATCTTGTTATGTACTATCTTTGGTGTGGGTGCGCATCGAAGAGAAAAACAAGTTAAATGAAAGTTGATTGGTTCTTCTTTCTGTGTTGGTTTTCGTTTTTGAGTAGTTGTTCTTTTTTTCCGGAGGAAGGGTGTTTTGCTTTTGTAATTCGTATTGTGTTGTTGTTGCATTTGGTTTTTGGTTTGTTTGTTTTTATAAGGGGTGGATTTTGTTGGGTTTTTTTGTTTTGTTTTGTTTGAGGTATGGGGCGGAGGTGTTGTTTGTTTTTTGTCTCTGTTTTGTTTTTTGGGGGATTTTCTTTTTTGTTTTTTGCTGGAGGGGGAGGGTTGGGGGGAGGCGAGTTTTTCAGCAATAATTGGAAAATCTTTATTATGTGCTATGACAAACTAGACACGATTAGGTTGTTTCCGGGGAACAGCGACTGTTGGAGCACTTAGTGATCCGGGGCATCGAGTGAGAAGGAAAACAAAAGGACAGAGACAGTACACCAAAGTAAACATCATCTTAAGTACACCGGTTCGACCTTAAAAGAATGCAAAGAAACTATCATTATGGAATAAAGAGTGTCGAGCAGACAGGGAGAGAAGGCAGAAATAGCGACTGTCAAAGTGGCGACGAAGTAAAATATTCTGCAATGTGGCAAAGGAAGGAGCTGGGACAAGAAAGACAGGTGGAAACAGATCCACTGCTATATAGAAACAAAAATGTGGAAACATATCCCCTGCTATGTAGAAACAAGATTATTATTAATGATACGTTGTCTGTGCCCCCCCCCCCCCCTTTTTTTGAGCTTGCACACCTCTGAATCTTTGATTTTTTACTCTATGAAACACAATCCGTCCCATGAAAAAGCAATTATTAGTCGAACTAATTCACAGATGAGATATTTTAAAATTCATATGCATCACAAAACTAGTGCTACTTGAACCCGATAAAAGTTCGGTTAATGTGCAGCTTTGACTTTCAAAACATTCACAAACCCCTCTTTTTCCTACACCATACAGAGAGACTGCGGAGTCACAGAAAGAGATGGAACAAGGGAGAAAGAGAGGGAGGGAGAGAGAGAGAGAGAGAGAGAGAGAGAGAGAGAGAAGCAGGGGGCGAGAGAAAGAGCGGAGGGAGGGGGGGGAGAAAGGGAGATGGTATAGAGAGAAGGGGGGAGAGAAGCTAGGAGAGCGAGGTTGACAAAAAAATTAAAGCCATTGTTACAAATAAACCGGTACTGCTAAATAAACACAGACCAGCACAGATAACATGTAATAAAACAAGCAAAAGGTGGGTGAATGTGCTGACGCATGCAACTTAATTTTTGGTGTAATGCTTTAGCGCGATATCTGGTTAAACAGAAAAAGCAATGATAAGACAAATAGTACGGCTATCTGTCTCACCCAACATTTTAGCTCATGAAATAGTCTAGACCTACACAAATTGACAAACGGCTCACAGACTTGCTACAGTCGACAAGCGAAGAATGAGGCAAATAGATAAATCATAAAAAGGTAGATTTCTACACAAGATAACAAAGAGAACAAATCTCGGCACAATAGTGAACCTGAAACCCTAAAGCCTGTAAATTGCATGGTTTGATCTACAGCTCATAGTATAGTGTAAGTTAATATTTCTAATAATGATCATAGAATTGATAATAATTAATCATTACAAATTAGCCTTCTGATTGGGCCTTAATGATAGGCCTTCGCATCCGCACTTTTCTTTGACTTCTAAATTAAGAGCTAGATTCTAGATCTAGATATCTAGATCTAGAAACTGTGGTATTGGCTTCTGGCTAACTCTTGGGTCTTATTTTGTACTGTCTATTCACAACTTTGACAAGGTTAACAAACAAAAAAAGCAACCGACAAGCAATTCTTGGTGGCCTTGCTTGATGCTTTGGCCTGAAAACAGCTGTTTACAATCTCTAGGCAACATGTAAACAATGGTGTATTTTTGGACCAATGAAATCATTATGACCTATTCAGTGCTGACAGATTTTATCGGAAGTGCCCTCTACAGCAGACGCTCTTTTTGTTTACACTACCAAGATAGCTCATTGAAGAGTGAAATCTATATTATTATTCTCTCGCAGGAACGGAAATATATTTTAGTTTTAGACTTCTTATAGAGTAATGAAACTTATTTTCCCTTTCCTTTAGCTTATAAGTTTTCTGACATTTGTCATGGAACCACAGTACATATACGGTGACGACGGAATACCGGTTCTTGTTGATGATTCATCGAATCCTTCGTCTCCAGTATCCTCAAAACCACCCAAAGTTAAAAAGGGCAAAAAGGGAAAATCATCTGATGGTGCACAGCGCAAACCAAAAGGTCCGAAATATGAAGAAGACTCAAAAGCAGTGTTTACCATTGATTCAGAGGGATATGACGTGACGCTTTCTGAAAGCAGAGGGAAGATTATTTGGGCGAACATGAATGCATTAGGTGAGACCAACCGTTTATTTTTAGTTGCTTCTATTGTTATTGTTGTTGTTGCTTTTAAACATTGTAACAGTGTTTTAAATACATCTTCTTTGATGCAGAAAGGTTGCTTAATTTATTTTAAAGGATGTCTGATCACAACTTCATGTTCAAATACGTGAGGCATGCTGACAAAAGTCACTTTCTCGAAATCCACAAATGGAGATATTGACCAAAAATCGACATTAGGGTCAACTTTATAGATTTTCTATTAATGCTTTTTTCTTTTATCTATAACTTGTCTTTTATTAGATCTATTTCACATTTACAAATTGTAAAAACTTCACCTGTAAACGTGATGTAGATCTAGAATCTATCTATTTTCTTAATAAAGGCTTGAATCCGAGAAGTAACAAGTAACTCATTTTGTCAACACGCTTCACACAATATGTACACTTGACATATGCCCTCTATTATTTTAAAATCTAGCTTGTGGTTAAATCTAGAGAGAGTAAGCCAAGTTAGATTTATTTTTATATTCCAGCTCGATAATAGGCCTACTGTATATTCTTTTAAGGCCTACATTTTTTTTTCTCAATACCAGTTAAACAGCTGGCCCAGGTTTTTTAACAGTACCGGACGACCTGCTCACTCCCAAACCAGACTATCCATGAACACAGTCTTCTCAACATCGTTTCATATGTGACTCAGGAAAATTATAATTTATATTCTTAATTGAATGGGGGGTTTTGTCCAGGCATAGCTAGACTGCTGCTGGTAAATGTGTGCACCTCCTGCTACAAGCCAATCCTATCTATGGCCAAATGTTTTCAGTTGAACTATAAAGATGCTGTTATTTGTGCACTTTTGGCCAAGAAGCTTTTTGCAGCACTTTTTACTTGCTAGCTCAAGCCTGTGGGTCCTGGAGATATATAGGCAGTCAGCGAATCTTCACCTTATAACATGACTCTGGATTATCTCCGACGCCTCCATATCTCACCGACTCACTTTTTTTTCTTGTACCTTGTCAGCCTCAATTTAAGTCAGGCTTTTCATTAGACGTCCTGTCCAAGACATGATCCTTGGGACTCTTCAAAATGATCTTCTATGAAGTGTTGTTAACTTGCACAGAATGTGTCTGCAGAGCAGTCCCCCTACGTGCCCTTACATTTTTGCTCATTCTTTTTTTTCCTTTCTAGCACTGTTTCTGGTTTTTATCTTTCTCTCACATGTATACCTTGCAAATTTATTTTAAACGGTTGTTTATAACAGTTGTGATCTTTTGCAGTGTCTTACTTAATAAAAAGAATAATCAATGTTTTTCTACTAGTAATTTTTGTCCTAATTATTTTCATACTTAGGAAGACGAAAAAAATCAGGAAAACTGTCTGGTATTTTCCGAGGAAGGAGGCCCTCTTTATCAGAGGATACTGTGTCAGATGGGCTAGCACTGGATTCCTTATTCGGTGCTCAAGTCAGGCGCAGGCAGAAACCTGGTGAGAAAGAAGAGGATGGAACGTGCCTGGGATTGGTTCTTAGTACGTCCGAGCGAAAGGATGCCAATACTCTACGAGAGAAGACGATATTCATGGAACATCCAAGCTCTGATCTCTGCACAGAATGGAAAAACAGAATTATGAATTATATACGATGTAAGTAAAGACACAGACTTATTGTCTTTTTTATGATCAGGGAGAAATCTGTAATAATTGGTGAAATTAATTAAAGTTCTCATATATATCTAATATTAATTCAGTTTTCGTTATTGTTTTGTTTGACAGTATTTGTCTAGTGATATCTTTCCAATAGAATACCTTTATCTGGGCACAAACTTTTGCATTTATCATGGACTACCCTTGTTTACATTTTCAAGAGGTATTATGACCCATCTATGGTCTAGAACATATGACACAACGACTAGCAGATTTGTTGTACTTGAAAAAAATCATGTAGGAAAAGTGTATGGTCTCAGCAGCATTTGTCCCAGAAATACTTTTTACATTTTCGCCCAAAAAAGCTTAAGGACCCATATTCGCTTCTGTTCCTTGCCTTTTCTTTTCAGGGAGAAAAATGTTCACCTTCTGTTCAGGTGATCTTCCTAGAAGGAATGATCCAAGATTATTTTGTTTTTTTATGCCCAATATTTTTGGTGTTTTTCCCAGCTGTGCATCAAAGACCTTCAATAGTAAAGTTGTTTCTGCAACCATATGCAGGAAGTAAGACTGGAAGAAATGTGTTTACCAGGACTATCCTGCCCATATTCCAGGCTGCTGGAGTTAGCGTTGACCTTTCAGGTGAACTATTTTTTCCTCTTATTGTCTAGTTAGCTATTGGACAAAGGGAATAATTATTAGTATAAAAGGAAGGGACTTTTAAAGCTTTCTTACCCGTATGCACACATCAAAGTACAACTGCATTTACCTGCATATTGGGGGTTTTTTCCTCTCATTCTTGCATCCACTCCTTATAAAGCAGCAGGCATGTGATAAACAATAGATAGAAGAGTAGATTATATCTTTATAGCAGGCACATCTACTAACTTGTAGACTATTATGATGGCTTTTAGATTTGCTTGCTTCTATACAATACAATATGCATTGGGTATGTAGCCATGGGTTGGCCTATGAAAGGGAAGCCTACATCCTGTAACCAAGGCTTTAGGTTGGAAAAGATGAGAAAATGTGTCATATTTATTTGATTCCATTTTACCCTACATTGAAAAGAATGTTTGTCTGTGCTGGATTAAATCATAAAGTATACATATGATATGTCTTTCCCTAAAAAAGCACCAGCTCCGCTGTTAATGCACTTTGATGTCGCCATAAGCACTGTTGGAGGTCATAATTTCATTTTTCAATTAAAACTTTTTAAAATTAAAACACTCTTTTTTCCTCCTCTTTGTATACACCATAATCTTTCCCAAAAGTGAGCCTCTTATGTACCTTTCTCAACATGCCACATGATATGATCTTGAGAAAGTTTTATTATATATCTCAAATAGAAGAATCCATACCACAATCCTTGATTAAATTTTAAATGCTCATATTGTACGATAAACTTAGTTCTATCCTAGCAAATAGAGAGGAAAAAGCCCTGCAAATTTTGTGCCTCAAAAGTCAGATTTGTTATTGTCACACGTTTTGAATCTATAGCTCATTGTTTTTACAGAGGTTGCGCATAATGAATTTGTGAAGCAAGACCTGGCTCACATGAACATGGAAGACTATGACTGGTAAGTTGTTAGTTTTTGGTTAATGTCTTAACATCTTTTTCACTGTTTCAACGAAAAAATGCGCCAATCATCATCTGTATTTTGTATTTTGTAGATCCAGGATGTCACAAATTACTTTAGACGCAATTTGATTCCTAAAGTCTGCCATAAATTTGTGAGAGTTTGTCTTTGGACCTATCTAGATTGTCTCCTTGACATAGTTTTAGTATTTGGGGTGCTTATGATAATGATGATATCAATGAAAATCATAATTAATAAATGGTGTACTTAAAAAGTCTTAATTCTATGGCAAATAGTCAGGAATGACTGGTGAGAGAGAGAGAGAGAGAGAGAGAGAGAGAGAGAGAGAGAGAGAGAGAGAGGAGGGGGGAAAGAGAGAGGGGATAGAGATAGAGAGAGGGAGAAAGAGAAAGAAAGAGAGAAAGAAAGAGAAGGAAAGAGAGAGGGGGGAAAAGAGAGAGGGGGGGAAAGAGAGAGGGAGGGGAGAGAGAGAAAGAGAAAACATTCAACATTAGATTTCTATCTGTGTCCTCAGTATCATTTGTATGGGTGGTGATGGGACAGTGAACCAGCTGGTGGATAGCATGATGAACAAGTCTCAGAAAGACAAGGATGTAGACATGAAGAAACACCCACAACCAGCCAGATGTTCTGTTCCCCTTGGCATTATCCCTACAGGTGACTTGGATTGTTTTAGAATTTTGATTGTTTTTAAAGATCATGTCCCTTCTTTCGAAATAAGACATTGGATGTACCGCTTAAAACAGTTATTATATGTTCTATTGCTGTTTACAGATTTGAAAATATTCGATAGTCTTTGAGATATTGCCATTTGAAAAAGGTCAGCAACAGCTATAGGCACTAAAAAGTAGCCCATAAGAAAGACCAAGACACGTCCACATTTCCCACTTCGTTACCACGTAGCCTACTAAGTTATTTTCCATTGTCTGTCAAACAAACTACCTTTGCCTCTATAATAGTCTGTTTCTTTAAAAGAAATGGCCAAGGATCATATATAAAGTATAGTCTGTTCTCATTGGATGTGTGTTTACATTATTAAGCAGTATAAATTTCCATCCCGATACTGTTGGGTCCAGAGCTCAGCGCAGAAGGAGGTCAGGGCTGAGTGAGATAAAGATCAGTTTTCCAGCCTCACTATCAAATTTGATTTACAATCAAACTCTTATTCCCCCAAAATCTCACATCACTAAATTTAGCCACCTGCCACTCACATCCCTTTACCTCACATCAATATATTGCTTTTGTTAAATTCCCCAGGACGGACCAACAATGTGGCTCAGTCTGTTATGGGTGTGGCTGACCCTGTCACTGCTGCTATTCACATTGTACATGGTAAGAAATGTGTGTGCCCATGCTTGTTTTAACTCTTACAAGTCATCATGTCTTCTTACTTTATACTGCTTTATTGCTTTTTCTTCATTGTATTTTGTTTTCCTCCTTCATCATAAATATCTGCTTGCCTGTACTACAAATCACTTACTTATTGTACCTTCATATATCAGATCTTCATTCTTTTCTCCACATGTTGGCGGATAATGCAAGCTTGTAGCTTTAGACATGTCTTTTTCATAATGAAAATGCTAAAATATATCCATGTTTTCAACAAAACTGACTACTGAGAACAGGCCTTCAACTTGTGAGAGTTAGAAAATATATATCTGCTTCTCGAGCTCGAGTTTTTTAAATATTCTGGCGTGGTCTGTTTTTCCTACATCTTTACTGTGTTTCCGTTGGGATTTTTATCACTTCCTCTGGGAATGTAGCGCTGACTTGTTTTTATCCACAAGTCAACATTTACTCAGCTCAGTGGAAAGTTTTGAATGACTGCACGTATCTTTTCGCTCAAACAAACAAATTCCTCTGACAGGTAACTTCCTTCCTGTGGACATATGTTCCATCTCCACTCCCGAGAAGTTTCTATGCTGGGGCTTCAATTGTCAGTATGGCTTTGCTGGTCAGGTCCTCTCATTCATGAGACGCTACAAAGCACTGGGTTCCAAACGGATAGATGCAGCATTCATCAAGGCTCTGACAAAAGCAAAGCTCAGGTATGATTTTTTTTTAAGTGTCTCATTGATTTTAAGCTACAAGATTAGCAGGCACTTTCTGTTGATCTGCTTCTTTTGCTTCTTTCCTTGTCACTTTTGTCCTAATCTGTCCATGGTTAATGTTGCCATTGTCATTTGAATTCAACTTAGATTTGAACTGAAAAGCAACACTGCGTTGTCTTTTTGCTTTGTGTCTTGTGAGTGGTTACAAATTTTTGTAAATGTTTTACACCTCCTTTGGACGCAATTTAGGAGACCAGCTGTTTTGGCATTGCGTAGTCAAGGCTAACCTGGGTTCAATGGAATATATCAACAGAAAGACAGAGACAAGATACTCAATAAGATAACTTTCCCCTTGCAGTAATGAAGGTATTTTGTTTGCAACTGTGAAAAACGTAACCATTATTCCACAGACATGAAATTTGTGTCTCATATACTTCTTTATGCCATATATAGTTCTGTAGAGGAGTAAAAAAGACGTATTTCTTATTGTTTTTTAGTTTTTGTCTTTGCTTTTGTTGTTCTTGTTGTTGCTATTGTTATCGGTCAAACATTCAAAATGTCTACAATATCCGAAGGATAGCACAATGCTCATTTTGAAAGATGACAGCAGAAGTTAAAGAGACTCTTGGCGTAGCAGCTTTCTACCTGAGTGCTATATATCTTTCAGAAACTCAGTACCTGATGCAGGCTGTCACTTTCTTCAATATGATTTCAGCTTTTAAATCCTCAATAAAGAATGGATGCAGTTGCTACGACCATCAGTGTCTGCTCCAGACCTGACACCTGAAGAAGCAGAGTGTGCTTTTTATCAAGTACCTTTCTCATGCCATCAAGATTTTGCGATTAACAAGGTTGAGAGATTGGAAACAAAAGTCTCCTTTGAGTTCAAGTATTTTGACCTATATGGTTTAACATTTTGCTGCCACATCTCACCGATTGGCGATGTTTACCACCCAGTTTCTTTGGATTTTCCCCCAAATGCCTTTGCCTTTGATGGCAAGGGTTTTTACTACATGAGCCTTGTGATGGCGAAGTGTTAAAGGAGATAGGTCAGGAAAGCTGGTGACCAACAAAGTGGAAGATTTTTAATTGTTCGTCTACTTTAGAAGTGAAATATTTGATTACAGTTTCACCTTGCTGTTTTTTTCAGAGCATATGAATGTGACATTGAGTACATCATGGCAGAGTCAAATTCAGCCTCAAAAGACACAACATGCAGAACCGGGTAAGTCTAAACCTGTATTCCTTCCCCTCCTCATGTTTCCCTTCTTTAATATGCCCAATCTTATTATATGTGTTCCTTCTCTCAATCAGCAACTCTCCTCCTTGAGTATATCACCCTGCCCTCTCTTTATCCTTCCTTCCTGTGTGGATTATCTCCCTTCCTCTGAGTTATTCTTGAATGTAATTTGTGTGAAAAGTTTCCATGGCTCTCCACCACTGAGATAGACATTAAACTGAAGGTGCAGCCTGTAAGATAAGCAAATGACCTCACTGTTGAAAAGCCCATCAAAGGTCCTGATTCGAATCCAGGTAGCGATGTAAAAATTTGCTTCTCTAAAATTGTCTCCTTTCACCCCCTTTCCTGTTCTCTAACAATGTTCTGTCGTCTGCTTTCGTCTTCTCTTTCTGCCCCCACCTCCTCACCTCCTTTGCCCCTTCCTCTGGGCTCCTGACTCTTTCTGCTGCCTTTCTACTGTTTCTCCTTGGCTCCTTCTTACTGCTGACTTTCAGCCACACCCCTGGTCTTCTGATAGGAAAGATCTACACCTAGCCTTCTCGGACAAGGGCGAAAAATCCCGGAGATCGCGTGTGCAAGTTGTTCACGTTAAAGATCCCTTGATGGTATAAAATTAATAAGAGTAGGCTTCGGCCGCCACCCGAGCAAAATTCAAAATTTCCTACCTACTGAAAATTTTAATGTATCCCACGCACTGATATGACCTTATGCAGTTGCGAGCTTTGTAAAACACTTACAAAAACGAAAACAGACCATAATGTACTGCATATCTAAGGTTGTTGTACTGTGTTTCATCTGGCCCTTTTGTTATTGTTGTCTTACAGTGCTTCATGGAGCACTGCTGTTCTTTTAAATGTGGCATCTCTGTATTTCAGGTGCAAAGTTTGTCAAGTGCCGGACAAGGAGAATGAGAGCGACGCTGTTGTGTCTGACCTAGTCCAGGAACTTGACCCACTTAACGAGTCTTTCACAAGCAATGCCAGTTCTGTCATTGGTAAGATTGCCTGATTAAATGTGAGGCAATGTGGTGAAATCAGGCACTCGTCAAAATATTGAAAGTGAAGAAACTGGCATTTTTCCGCAGGTTTGGGAATTTTTATCTCATTTTTGTTTTTCGGCTCAACACCTTTAATGCCCATTAAAAAAACAATTTCATGTGGATTTTTCTGAAAAAACGGGCTGAGGAAATAACTAAACTTTGGCTGCCTTTTTCTTGCTAATTATACCTCTGAAACCAGGCGACCCCACTTCCTTCAATCGCAAATATCTCGACTTGTATCCCAGATAAATGGGTAATGTTTTCATCAAAGCAAGGCAAATGGACAAGCTTTAAGATGATACCAATAACTCCATATGCCAAAAAATTGACGAGCACCTGATTCCACCACATCGTGACCCAAATAATATGGATACTATCGTTTTGACAGGCAAGGCTAATACGTCCTGTTCAAGGGCACTTCCTAATAACCATCCTTCTGAAACTCATCCTTATTACGAATGCAGTAAAGCTGACACACTAAATTTAGATCAAGAGATATTAGGCCTACTCCTTAATCAGAAAGGTTTTTAAATTGTGTATGGTAAACAGAAATAGTGTATATGTGCCATAGAGTATGCTTCAGTCTGTGAAAAATTTGATATGAATATGATTTAAAATATGTATAGACTTACAAGCCAGTGTCAATTGAATTTTCTGACAAAGAGGACTAAAGTAACCTTTTCTTGCTTTCCTTCTTTTTTCCATAACAACAATGCATGCTCTATTTATATCCCTAGATACAGAGTACAGTATTACTAACTCTACTCAAGTCGTAATTAAAATCTTTCCCTCTCTGTTTCATTCATATACAGACCTGCCTCAAGACAGTCCGTGGCGATCTCTCAAGGGAAAGTTTATGAATGTTGGTTTGTTTGCCATACCGGGTCTCTGTGACGTTGCACCTCAGGGTCTGCACAGATACTCCCATCTCTGTAGTGGAATGATTGATCTGGTGCTGGTCAAAGAGACAGAGAGGAAAGAATATGTCCGACACCTCAGGAGACATGGCAATATGAAAGATCCGGTAAGTTTTATCGTTGGAATATCAGGAGTCTAAAACAAAAAGGGGACCCATTTAAAGGGTAATAACTCTGTTATATTTGCCCTAATTTCAACAAAACTTCAAATTCAAATAGATAAAATTCAAGGAAGGGGATATCAATAGCTGACATTTTTGCCCTTTAAATGGATCCTCTTTATAGACACCCTAGTATGTAGCACAAATGTCATGTCTAATTTTGAACTATGGTACAAGAACAAAACTAACCCTGTGTGTGTGAGCACTCATGAATGATCTGTGTGTGTGTGTGTGTGTGTGTGTGTGTGTGTGTGTGTGTGTGTGTGTGTGAGTGTGTGTGTGCGTGTGTATAAGTGGATGAGTGAGGAAGTATGAGTGGCTGGGTGTGTATCTGCAGATGTGCACAAATAGTTTAATTGTTTCAAAAAGGATGTACGAGCTCAAATGAAATAATGAAATCGTGTGTAGCTAGGGATCTTCTATCCCTTGCTTTACATATACCTGAGAAGTCACTTGTGTCTTTGCCTTTACTTTGTTGGATACTTAATTATTAACAAGAAAGGAAAGAAATTCACTTGACCTTCTCAATCGTACTGAAGTTATGCTCTCCTACTTGGCAATAGGTTGTCAGTTTCATTAAATGTTGATTATTACGGAAAGAATGTTCCTTGAACTGATTATATTTGTACTCATTGTTTGATACCCATATGTATGTAAATATACTCTCTCGTAAACATGTAATTTTAAGCCATGAGTGTCTTATTTATTTCCAGTTTGATTTCCCCTTCATTGAGCGCCACAAAATCAAAGAGCTTCGCTTCCGGCCACGATTCCCAATGAGCTGGAATTACAATGATCATGACTTCAGTGAAATCAAGTATCAGGTGCAGATATTATTTACTTGATCTTTTGCCCAAGTTGTAATGCCATAATAGAAACTGTGGTACATGAACAATGTTTTAACATTTATGTTTTCATAACCCTCTAACTTACCCTCTTTCTGAGAGCTGGCAGTCAGTTTTCCTTATATATTGGCTTTTACTGTCACAACAACAGCCAAATATGTGCTTATCTGCTAGTGATGATTGTTATAGAAGAAGTATATTTTGTTGTGGTGAGGAAATAGAGTGGGATATGTGCAAATGCATTTGCTAGCATCATTATTTGTTTATGCTTCTATGTTTGTGTCTGTTGGAATCTATAAATTAAAGTAAGAAAAGGGGAGCCCACATACATTGAAGATTTCTTTATGATATGAAATGAGTATGGAAGTAACTAGTCATTTCTAATATGCTTAACCCTTAGTGTCCGGAACGCCAATTAAGCATCAGCCGCTTGTTGAAAGTCGTAACAAAAATCTACCAAACCTTAGCAAATTCATCTTATCTATAATCAAACTGTAATGTTTTCTGCTGATAGGAATGAACTTTTTTGCTCTGTGTGGTTTGTTTTCTATGTAAATAAGTTAACAGGATCAGAGTAATAGGTAAGTTTGTGATGCTAAAAGATTAAATGGCAAAACTGATTCTTTCAAAGAGGAAGAGCTAATTTGCTCTTTGTGCTGCCCCTATTTAGTTTGACAAGGGGGAAACCACCTGACTAAGCTTAGTTACGATTACAATAGTCATAGTAAAAGGCCAGTTTTATGACAGTTGCTGTTCATGCGAGCACTATTAGTTTTAAGTTTTTCAAATTTTGTACTCATTTTAATGTTCAGATGGAAAGGGTAGAGTCTAAAGCCACAACACACAAGTCAATGGAGGTCATCGCTGACATGGACAGTGATGATGATGATGATGATATACAGAGGGCTCAGAGTATCTGCACGCTGGACATGTCTGATGATGATGAGGATGATAATGATGAGAGGAAGGAGAATGGTGGACAGGTAAATTTGGTTTCAGTAGTTAACCTGTGTGTGAATTACAGTGCTGTTCTATTAAACCAAAAATAACTATAAACTAAAAAAAAAAGAAAATCTTTAATTTTTTCCCCCTTCTTCGTGAGCAACCTCTGAACCAAAAATCCACCTACATTCAAATCAAATCAATCATGCAGTCAATCAATGGCCGCACCTTTTACTGCCTTACAGAAGGCATCAGCGGAGTTCTTTTCAGTCAATGATCTGCTTTGCTTTGCTTTTACTACCTATGAATGTCATGTTGTTGAAAAAATAGACGTGCGGTTTTATTTGTAGGCAAAAATATCTCATAACCAGATGCAAGACTGTAACACATCAGAGTGCCAGCACTTTGGAAATCACAGCTAATACAGAGGTGTTAACTTGCCACCCCATGTCTTCTACAGAATGTGGTTTTTGACCAGTCACATATAAAGAGATTTTCCTAACAGTTTTGTCTTTTTTTCAGACTCCACAACAACCCAGACTGGTGGGCCCACAGTACCGTAAAACTTTCTATGAGATGGAGACTGCTCGAAGAAAGGAAATTGCTCGGAAAAAGGAGGAAAAGCAAAAAGCAAGAATGGAAGAGAAAATGGTAGCCATCTGGAACATAGACAACCAGATGGTGAAAAGTAGAGAACTAGACATCAGGTGAGAGGTTTGCTGTCTTGGAAACACTACTGTCAGTTCAAGTTTCTCAATTTGTCTTTTTCAGTTCAAAATTTGTCTTGTATGAAGCAGGCAGAGTAAAGAGTTTTTGAAGATTTGTTTTCCTCATCATTGATAAGATGACGGACATGAAAAAGAGGAAAACGAGAAAAGACCTGTATTCCAAAACCTTGAATGTACACTTGAGATGTTTTGCCTTAGTACGTTGAAAGCGATGCTCACAGGTCACCCAAGGTGACGTTTTGCTAGGGGCTTCAAGAGTTAGTGTTGACATCACTCATAAATTTTCACTCATAGCAAATAAACAAGTCACTATGGTGTCTTCAGGCTTCTACTAAGCTAAGATATCAGATTGCTTAAATTTCACATGTTCTTGGTGGTCTCATCAAGACCTCAGATGTTTGTAAGGTGTAGCTGGTAGCTTCTTTTTCCGTATCAAATCTCTTGTGTCTGTTGTTTTTGTTATTGTTTCTTGGTCACAGGCTCACCTGAAGCTAACTTGTCAAATTTTGTTTATTTCTTGCTGTTAGGGTTCTCATATTTTAGAACAGATCATTGACCCTTCAGGGTTGATGTTACTTCGTTAGTATTCAGTTGACAAAAAAAAGTGTGTGTATGTGGGGGGCGGGGGGGGGGGGGGGTGATAAGAAGGTGGGTTTTTTTGTGTTCCTTTTTTTTTTGGTTAGCTTTTCTTTTTCTGTTACTGATTTTATGCAAGGGTAAAATAAAACTAAATGTGTCCGATGGGGAAGACCAAGTGCCATGGGAAAACAAATACCTTGGAGAACGAGCGACGCTTCTGTCGCAAGTTCGTGTTGACCTACAGTGACCGCTTATCTCACTTATGATTTTTGTATGAGTTATGGAGCTGGGCTTATAGGTTATGTCAGATCACATGCTTCCCTCACCAGCAGTTGAAAATTTATTGTTACCAAATAATCAACTTTTGTAAAAAATGACCTACACAACATGATCATTCTTTGGAGGGACTAACAATAACGACAGGTGAATGGATTATGATGGCTCCCCCACAGCATCAGGGGTTAATACATAATTTGTGACAAAATATCTGGCGATTAGAGAATTGTGTAGTTGTCTCAGACCGGTATTTTTGGTTGTTGGTTGATAAAATATGGTGGTTGCTGCAAAGTTGGACGGATGATCATTTTATACAGTGAAATAATAAAGGAAAAAACACAAAGAGGGAAATGGAAACTGGCCGTTTGTACATGTGGCTGTATTATACAGGTGGCCGTCATGGCAGGTTCGACTGTATTTTACATTTGCCCCCTTATATCAGAAATAGACATTGAATTTCAATGTTCCAACTTTTTAGGGAACGTTAGTGTGTTTGAAAAGACCTTCGAACCCATCCCAACTCTTCGTACTAGATCAGTCCGGTCAACTCCTAGACACATTACAAACAATTAATTAAATTTCTAGATTTTCCTCATCTCTTTAAGATCTGTTTATTGTTCTTTTCACCTTGATCTAGAGGGTCAGTGATAAATATTACTCTCAAGACTGGTCACAGGGAAAGTCAAGTATTATAAAGCAGTGCTAATAATTATGAAGATGATGACAAGGTCTTTTATTTCTTGGGCAGTGTGTATTGTAATCCCAATCTGAAGTGAAGGGAAGCTGGACTACATCTCAGTAATGTTGGACAAGTTCACAATTAGTATTTATGCGATTCATGTATTTTGAAACTGGTTTTGTGTTCCCTTGCCTTGCTGCTTTGAATCTTGGAGGAATTATTAAGAAAAACTGTTGGAGTATAAAAAATAATCTGTTTTTTTGTGTGGTTTTTTTCTTATTTTCAGAGTTCATCAAGGCCTGATCAGCATCTGTGGCCGGGGTGTGTCACCGCACACAGAGTACAGTGATGTTAGGCACGGTTGTCTTTCTAGCATGTAGACAGACCCACAGCTCAGCTGCAGATCCAGAAGTTGCCATACTGTCATTGTTATTTGTCCTCCTAGTATCAGCTCATTGCTGGCAGGCCAGTGGTCACTGAAACTAACAACAGTATTCATCAGTTTACCTGATTACTTACTTGATTCTTTTTATTTTTATTTTATTTGGTAAGTGTTTTACGGCGCTCGCAACTGAACAAGGTCATATGAGCATGCGGGATACAATAAACTTTTTCAGCTGGTAGGAAACTTTGAATTTTGCTCGGGTAGCAGCCGAAGCCTATTCTTATCGATTTTAGACCACCAAGGGATCTTTAGTGTGAGCAAATTGCACCTGGGCCCTCTGAAATTTTTCACCCTTGTCCGAGAAGGCTAAGTGTAGATCTTTCTTACAAGAAGATCAGGGGTGTGGCTGAAAGAAAGCAATAAGAAGGAGCCAAAGGAGTAGCAGTAGAAAGGTTGCAGAAAGAGTCAGGAGCCAAGAGGAAGGGGCAAAGGAGGTGATGGGGTGGGGGCAGAAAGAGGAGACGAAAAGCTGAGGACAGGACATTGCTAGAGAGCAGGAAAGGAGGTGAAAGGAGATAATTTTAGAGAAGAAAATGTTTCGGTCACTACCCAGATTCGAACCTGGGACCTTTGAATGGAAGGCCAACACCTTAACCTCAAGGCCACAAGAACCCCCTTGATTCTTTTGCCTACTTGCAGAATTTTGATGCCAGAAGTAGTGAAAAGAAGAAAAAAAATATTTACACCTGCTCTTGCAGTTACATATATGTGTGGCATCTTGAAGAAATCAGGTGCTCGTTAAAATCATGTAATTGAAGAAACAGACATTTTTCAGCCCGTTTGGCAATTTTTATTGATTTTCTTTTTTGTAAGCTTTACACCTTGTATGTCTATTTTAAAACATATTTGTAAATTTCATGGAAAAATGTTGATCAAAGGCACAAAGAATGTAAATTTGCAGTCTCCGCCAAACTTTGGCGTCCATTTTCTCACTAATTTTACCTCTGACATTGGGCGACCCTATCTCCTTCAATCTCCCAAAAAATCTCGACTTCTATTCTAGCTAGATAATCACTTTTTCATCAAAAGCAAAACAAAGGAACAAGTTTTAATATTATATTGATAACGCCACATGCCCAAAAATTGACAAGGACTTGATTTCACTGTGTCTTGACACATATATGTGCATAATCTCTGCATTGAGAATAACAGCACAAATCTTCAGCCTTGTATTTTTCTATTGCTTTATGTCCTGAATGATCAGTAGATCACTTCATTTGATGTTTGGTTGTGAGATACATTTCACAGGTTCTGATCTCTGATTTTATATTCCCTCCTCTGTTACTCTTACTGATCATTTATCATCCCTTTGAAATGAACGTTTCAGTTGAAAGATATTTTGAGTACTGATTTCTCATTAATTCAGATGAAATTGAAAAGCTAATGAATTATTTTTTAAGCCTTTTAATTTGTGCCTTACTGACATCTGATGCACTCACTTTTATGTAGTAAGTTTGGCCTGCATTATGTTGTATTATATGACTTCACGTGTTGGATCACAGATTTTCAGATCAAACATTCTGAGACAATGCACCATAACAGAAAACAACGAAGCAAAAGTTTTATTTCTTTAGATTAGGCTTTTATCCTGAATTTGATCTCATTTGTAAACAGTTATATTATGACTGATTTCTGAAAAATTATAGATACTGTCATATATTGAGAAGTATAATGATAGCAATAACAAATGCAGAAACCTCTAAAAATGAAAGGTTTTAATTCACATGATAATGATAACTCTCTAACAATGGGTTGTGGAAGTCGCAGAATAAGACAATAAGTATGCAAAATTTGTTGTGGGTTTTTTTTTTTATATGCTTATTAAATATTACATACATGTATATGTCTGTTTAAATTTAAACATACATGTTGTTCATTATTTAAAAATTGGGAGCTGTAAGATATTTTAAGTTGTTAAAAAGCGAAATGCTCGCTGCGAAAGGGATTTGAAAACAACTACAACAACAAGTTGTTAAAAGTTTTTGTTGAAGATATAGACCCCAGGGGCAATATACCACAAGAAAGTTTGTAAATTGATCATGTACATGTGTGCAGCTATGTATGCATCCTTTTGCTGTAACTCATATCATATCAATAAATAAAAGGTAAAGTGAACATTCTCTCCTTCGTCTTTAAAATGCCTGTGTGGATGAGAAAAAGGGCAGTACCAGTATAGTGAAGTTCACTCTATTGATGTATGCATTATATAATTCAATTTCTTAAGTTCATTGAACGTTTGTATCTGAGAGCCATATTTTTCCACATTTTACTTCGAGTGCCCTAAGTGGATAGATTTACTTGCAGCTGATCAATGTATGAAACAGGGAACAGCTCTCAACTTTTTATATGTGCATTGCTATGTATGAAAAGTCACACCTGTAGACTCCTTTTCATATTCAGTTATGTTTTCAAAGACTTATGCAGAAATTAATTTAAAGTATATATCTCTATATCATCAGAAAAGATTATTGTCTAACTAAAAGCACAAGTACTGGGTGGCATTTCTTTACAGTACAATGTTGACTCTGTAGATGTGTTGCGTGTCCTACGCTATAGCTACATTTATACGTAATGGTTGGTTCAGAGGTCATTTTTAGGGAGGTTCAATTCAAACTATCAAAATCTTATATTTCTTCAATTTGGTTTGCCAGTTGGCAGAGTCACTTCCGTGATAAGAACCACTGTCTCACACTCTGAAATATAAAAAAGTTTTACAGTGTGATTAATCGTTTAAGTTTAAGGCACACTGAATCATTTTCTGATCTTGCCACTTCTACTTTCACGTGTAATCAAAAGATTGCTTTGCACTGCCTTTTAAAAATTACCTATCTACCACGTTGCATAAGTAAGTAAAAAATATATATATTTGCATTTGGGCCATTGATCAGGGATCATACACTGTTTGAAGTTACATTGTCACTTTTTAATCCTGACTGTGAATGCCAACCTAAGGATGACTGCTGGTTCTTCATAAAAATGATTTTGTTATGTACAACCTGTTTTTTAACAAACTTTTTCAAAGTTGTAACATTTGATGTGTGCTATTATCACTGTTAAACCAGCAGTGTTTGGAGTAATTTAGGCTATTACTGTGATGTAGACAGTGGATGTCTTCATGGGTTGTTCCTTATTACCACACATAGAGGTGTTGTTTGGGAACTTTCACTGTTTTTTATATGCAAGTCCCACTTACTTTTGGAGGCCAGTCACCTGCCACTATGCACTGTACATAGTAATAAATTATAATAATGATAAATATCACTTCCACACTTCCATAGTGCCCACTCTCTGGCGGTTCAAGGCACTTCACAATAACATAACATTTCGACAGCTTATACGATGATGCATTTCATTCATACTGGCTCCATCATCACCTAACAGTCCTTTCAAATATCACCCATAATAATGTACCAAGTTCTGACAAAAGAACATATATGCACAAAAAGACAATTACTGTGGCCGCATATTACACTTGTTCCACTTATAGGGAAAAGAATCTAATTAGCTAAAAATAAAATTTAGTAGGCTCTAAATAAATGTGTCTTTTGACCAGTTTTAAATTAAGACAAGTGTAGACTGCATCATTTTCTTTTTATTGCCATTCAATCCTTTGTGCCATCTGTTTGTCACATTTTCTTTCCTGTAGGGTAAGTTGTAAGGATGAGGGATATATGCATTACTCAGCATTTTGTAGACATCTCTGAGCAGGCTGGTCTCTTCAGTCTTTAACAATTGTACTGATTGTGGTGCTGGAGCCCTGTGCAGTCCCATACAAGACTCTGTGGGAGGTTGCATCAGTGCTCTGTTGTTACAGTGTTCCACACTTACCCCAGTGTCCTGTTGTGTAGTTGTTAGATGCTTCACCTCCAGATGCAAAAGATGTAAGTTCCATTCCTGGGTAAGGAGAGTTTTTATTAAATGTGAGGCATCGTGGTGAAATCAGGCGCTCATCAAAATAATAAAGTCCAAGAAAACTGCATTTTCCTGGCCGTTTGACAAATTTTTTTTAATTTTCTCTTTTTTTGGCTCAACTCCTTTCATGTCCATTTAAAACCACATTTCTGAGTTGATTTTTCTGAAAACCGTTGATTAAAGGCATACAAATTTCAGTTTCCAAGGTCCCTCAAGCTATGGAAGTCGCCAATCTATGGTAGTCATTTTCTCGCTAATTTTACCTCTGAAACCAGGCAACCCGCACCTCCTTCAATCATAAATATCTTGACCTGTATTCAAGATAGGTGGGTAATTTTTTCATCGAAAGTCACGCAATTGAACAAGCTTTGAGATGATACCAGTGACTCCACATGCCCAAAAATTTATGAGGACCTGGAATCTGAGATGTCGAATACCTCTCAGCCCACATTGGCCTTGACAAGCAGGGTCAAAGCAGCCCGCCTCTTAAATGATCTGAATTGTGTCAGTGGAGGCTTAAGACGTATACAGACATTCACAGGAAGATTTTACACAATTTCATTGCCTTATTTTTCTGTCCTTGCTTATAATAGATGTAGTAATGATTTCATTACTTGTATAAAAAGAAATAAAATATTGTAGAAAGCAAGAACCGCAACAGTTTTGGAGCAGATTGGGAAGGCAATTCTTATGCAGCACTTCCACAGACTACATTTTGTCAACTTTATCATACTTTATGTCAGCACAGGAAAGTGTTAGACTGCAGTTAGCTTAAAATGATGTCAAGGCGACACAAACAAAATATTGATTTAACCTTACAAATCATGTTCTCAGTTTTTCTATTCTCATTCCAGTGTGTTGGTCAAACAAGACAAAAGAAGCATTGTTGTGTCCAAAAATCATAACATCAGACTTTCTTTTAGTTGAAATCCACTGCAATAATGAACCTTGTGAACTCGTGCATTGTTAGCTACACTGTACTCCTCTACTCTTTCACTTTAAAAAACTGAATATTTTGAGCACTAACTTCATTGTACAACCTCTAAGTAAAACATGGTTATAACTATGACATGACCGCCATTGTTTTCAACATCACAAACTGAATCTTGATATTATATTGTATTTATTCTCGCCATTGTTGTTTGCTTACACAGGACAGGGAAACTCCAAGAACCATGTAATTTTAACAAGATGCCAGATTGGGATATATTGTCATTATGTCCAAGCATTATTGGGAACATTTTGAAGAGATCTGTAAATACTTTTGTAATGCTTATCGCATTCCATTTCATTTCGTTTTCATGCACCAGCAATCCGTCCAGGGTGGGGTTTTTTTCTCCATTAAAGGTATTTATACATTACCCTTGATATATATATATATATATATATATATATATATATATATATATATATATATATAAGTTTAATGCTTATATTGTTAGTAAATTTCTTTATGTCTTATTTGATGCAGCATTGTGATTTGTATGTGCAGCTCACATCAAGTTTGAATTGTCACTGTTGACTTTGTATTTGTACTAATTGAAATTGTATGTCATGTGTACTGTCATTGTCAGCACATGACTGCATAAGACATGTAGCCTATATTGTTTATGATTAAGAGAATGCCAAGCATATTCTATTGCTTTTCAGTGATCTTATTCTTTTACTTTTAAGAAAATTGCCTGTGATCTGCTTTTGTTTATATTAATAAGTTCTATTTTGTTAAAACAACTCACTCTACACAGATGAGAAGAAAATTCTCAACACTAATTTTTTTTTTTTATGTACATGTATTTGTATGTGTGTTTACTTGGTGAAACTTGTAAAAACATTTTTCTCTGCAATTGTGACTGTCTTGTAATTATTACTTTTGTTTGGATAGAGTGATGTGAAGCCTGCTTTCTAAATGCACTCCGTACGCTGTCTGTACTAAAACCTGCCAGAGTATGAATTTATTGTTCAGAGCATTTTTTTTTTCAGAATGTGAGGAATCTCAAATTTTCAATGAAGCAGCATTCATGTTTTTTAAAAAAGCTGTCACAATTTCTGTAAAGATAAAGGCAGAGCTTTTTCTATTCTCGAGTCAGTGATTAGAACTTTTTGATCATCTGATATGTCTGGATGGGATCAATAGAACATGCACTTGCAGTAAAAGGGTGATTATTCGCTAATTACGTCTGATTTTGATTGAATTCCCCAACTAAACAAGGCAAGTTTCTATTTAGTACACAAATATAATAATAAAACTGACTTATAAGTTTGGTTCTCACAAAAGTGAAAGATTGAAAAAGTTATAATGATATTGATAATGCACTCTTGTACTAATTATGTCTACCCCTAACAATACAACACGAATGAAAGTTCGCTTTCTGCTGACCTTAATTATGTAAAAACTAAGGCTTTTTTGTCCAACTTTTTCATTCTAATCATTTTCAGACTTTTAGTCTTAAAAAACATTTGTTTTTAAATTTGCAAAAATCACACAGGGCATGAGATTGCTGTCTGTTGGACTCCTCAGTACTTATCTTAACCTACACATCCTGTTTTTTTACGCACTTCACTTATCGCTTTTCTATTCTTCTTTTTTTCAGGGTTATGGGACCTTTGTTTGATTTCGTTATTTTCAATAGTTTTGAGTAGTATATATATATATATATATATCAAAGATCAACGTCTTAACTCTTTGAGTGCCTCCAGCTTGTGGTGACAATGGTTATTTCTATCAAGTTTTTAAAGTTTGCCCATGACTGGTTAAAAATCAGTGAAAGACGTAAGTGGATTTCCAATCTTCACATATGTTCTGATTCATATCAGATGGATTATAATAAAGACAGACAGGTCCAGTTAATTCATTAAAAGTTCTTACATGTACTTTGTTTATCTCTAAAACTACATACCCAAAGAAATACAGAATCATAGCCCTAAACTCTGCTGACTTTGTACAGAATTGTAGTTGTAGTTTACACCAAGGTAAAACAACTGCCAACTTTCACAAGGAAAAGACCAGGTCCACCTTCAGACAGAAAAGAAGCAGCAGAAAACCCTTGCCTAGAGCCAAGAGGGATAGCTTATCATCCAACTTCAAGAAATAAGAGACAAATATGTTATTCCTGGGTTTTCTTTACATGTGTTTAAAAAGGCAAGAAAATATCTCCAACACTTTGGCATTCAAAGAGGTAAGAACTGTTGTTCTGATGTGTTTTGTGATTATTATTTTTTTCCAATATCCCCCTTGAAGTGTTCATCCCAGTGTGAGGCTTGGATCTATTGCTCTGACAGAACCACACAATAAACAATTTGTTTCTTATAATACTTTATTATGCCAGTCTGTGTTTTATTTTGCCCCCCTGCTCCCAAAATACTACTTATCCTTTTTTTTCTTCTTCACAAAAATTCACAACTGAAATCTTATTTATGCACCTACATTACATTGTAGCCTACATGTACGTATAAAAAAATCACATATTTCCATGTGACAGCATTGAAGCATTGTTAGAGAACTTGGATCCCGACTTCAAGTACAGTGTTTCCAGAGGACATACATCATGTACATGTACTGGGACTAGCACTTTGTCTTCTCAGAAAAAGAAAATTTTCCACACAATATCCCTTGAGCAGACATGCCAAGACTAAGATTCCTAGGAAGTTAGGGGAAAAGACTTACTTACACTTACCATAGAAAACATGTTCAATACCTTATTAAAAATAAAGAAATCAAGGTCAATATGGGTATGATTTTCTAAAACTGGCTTCTTGTGGCCAGAGGCAGGATACTTTATTATAATACAGTAGAACATGGCTATAGCGGGACTTTTAGTTCTAGAAGAAAAATCCCGCTGTAGACAAGTTCCCACTATAGAAATACAAAGGGGAATTACTGAAAAATCACACACTACACGCTCTCCTTTTCTTTTACTGTCTTTTGGCCAAGCCTAGGCCTAAGACGGGATGCCCATTAGGGGATCGGGTCTAGTTGGGGCGGTTTGCTAGCCAGATTGAGGGCCCAAAGCGGTTATCGTGGCACAAGCTGATTGTGCCCAACTCTTCGCCTCCAAAACAATCGCGTACGTTTTCAGGCAACCACCCCCGATCCGAACCTATCCCATCTCTAAAGGCTAATGGGCACCTCATATAAGACTATGTCGCATCACTTTTGGAGTGGCTCACGTAACACGTCTCTCCGTACTATCTCTCTCTGCTGCCTGCCCCACCTCACTCATCGCTGGACTGGCCAATCACAACACCGCACCGTTGACTAACGGTCTGGAGCCCACCTACAGCCTCCACCCCCCAACCCCCTTCCTCCAGCTAGAGCTCACTCGATCTCTCCCGCTGTATCCAATTTCGGGCCTTTCCTAGCCCCGTTAAACCCGAGAACAGTTAATTGAGTTACATAGACTAAAAAAGAAGGGGATTCCAGTAAGGTTCCGCTGTTGGGATGGTCCCGCTGCAGCGGGCAACGTTATAGTCATGTTCTACTGTATACCCGGTGGCAAAAAATGGCCACACTTGTATGGTACTTGTACCGTCAACACCACTGTAGTAGTTAGAAGAATCTACAGTTGTCTACATTATACAATGTACTATGGCAGAGGAATTCGGAGAAAGAAGTGTACCCTTCACAAGAAAGTGACCATGAAGCTTGCAACATTAGTTCTTTTTGGTCCAGTCTGTTCCATCTTGGCCCTCTCCTCTTTAAGTCCTCATTTCCTATAGGAGACATGGCCCTTTCTTGAAATCTTCTGTACTAACCTCTTTCCCTAAATTTTATTTGAAGTTCTACAACTTCAACTACCATAGCGACACAATGAAGACAAAAAATAGGACCTGTCTACATATGTGAGGCAGCGAGGTGAAATCAGATGCTCGTCAAAATAAGGAAATCAGAGAACCAGGCATTTTTGCGTCAGTTTGAAAATTTTTTTCCAATTTTTATTTTTTGGCTCAACCCCTTTTTGGAGTTACCAAACTTTGGCGGCCATTTTCTTGTTAATTTCACCACTGAAACCAGACGACCTCACTTCCTTCAATCACAAATACAGTCGAACCTGTGTAAGACGGAATCACAAGAGAGCCAGAAAAAAATTCCGTCTTAGACAGGGGAATTTAGGGGGAAACGGAGGTTGGGGGAGGGGGGGTTCAAAGGCCCAGCCGGTGGGATCAAGGATCGCTTGTCTGACGGGCAAGCAGTGGTCAAAACTTCACACCTCTCAATTGCTATCCTGTCTGATAATGACATGCGTCAGTCTTACTTATCCAATTACCACCAGTGCATGCCTTTCATGGGACCACTGTTTGATCTATTAAAAACAGAAACGTTTGAACATCTCCCTTGCTTCCATCCTTAACCCTAACAACCAATGCCCCCCTTTACTGCTATCATTGTAACAACGATTCAAGGAACTCTTTTCTCGGCTGGCCGTATGATCAGGGCGGCAGGCATTGGTCAATCTAATTTCACACCTCTGGCTTCTGGACCCAGGAGAGTTTCCGTAGTGGCTGGCTCCTGGAGCACTCTCACGGGCAGTCGTGAGATTTCACACCCACACTCCACTGACCATGCATCGCTCAGGGCTCACATGATGGGGTAACATCTTCCCCCAAATTGCACCCCTACTCCCCTTCCTCACCCTGCAGCATGACCATAGCGTTAGTTTAGAGCCAGCGGAACCAAACTTGCAAGTTTTGTTTCAAATCAGGGCTGAGCGGGCAAAGCATTTTCCGTCTTAGACAGGTGAAATCCTCGGAAGTGAGCAGATTTTTATTTCCGTTTCCGCGTTGGACAGGTTTCCATTTTATACAGACAGGTAATTAAAGAGGAATATATCAATGGGGGAGCGGGGAGATTCCGTTAAGACAGGTTTCCGTTTTATACAGGTTTCCGTTAAGGCAGGTTCGACAGTATTTTGACTTCTGTTGAAGATAAATGGGTTTTTATTTCATTGGAAGCAAGGCAACTGAATCAGCTTTCAGATGATACCAATAACTCCAAATGCCAAAAAATTGACGAGCGCCCGATTTTTTCGCCTCTAGACACACATTTCAGGATTTACCTCCTGTTATTGATCCAGTTATACTCAAAACAAAAAAGAATGAAACAACTCATTAATATTGAATATAAGATTTGTCATTTAATTTGATCCCAAACGGATAGAGTCGAACAAATTCTAAACTTTTAAGCTCTTCTTCCACATGAGTTACATGGAGAAAAGTTACCTTCTCAACAAGGATTATTAACCTAACTACTACAACACGAAAAAGGGTTAATTAAATTACTAAGTCTAAGAGAATTCAAAAGAAAATTATGACTGCATTTTAATGTAAAGAGAGGACAAAAAAAGAAAAGTAAAATGGAAATAAAACAGTAGGAAATTGGACACACTTGTAACACTAGTAACAGCACATACCTGCATAAATTGGCATACCATAACAAACCTACAGAAAAACTCGTCAAGAACCAAAAAGTATAAAATTTTCAAACAAAACAGAGCATCAGACAATGGTAATATCTGATTAACACAAGCACTCAAAACATCTTGACACAGGAAAAACACTCTGTGCCATGTCCTCCCTATACTGGAGCAAAGTGTACAACAGTATACAAAACCTACGTCACAAACAACATAAAATAACAATATGACCACTGCAAACACAGAGATTGTGGGCTGCACAATCTGCAATAGCAAACTGTCTTCATAAACGTAAATAGTTGTAAAGCGCATAGAGCATGCTGAAGAGTGTGGGTACGTGCCATATAAATGCATTTACTATGATAAAATCCTCTTTCTCGCTTTAAACCAAGTGTACATGATACTGTGCGCCTTCCATACACATGTTTCTGGTTCCCCACGATTGTAATTTGAAAGGGAATACCTGTCAAAAGATTTCGTGCAACTTCTAACAAACATTTTCCTCAAAAAGCAGGATAAACTCATTTAGGCCTACCTAGATCATCAACTAGCATCAAAAATTTTTTGTCGACCCTTTTTTTTCACCTTGTCATTTTCCATCCCACACAATAGCATTCTGGTAAGGGTAAAAGACAATGTCAGCTTCTGAGAACAAAAAACACAAGCATCTGCTTTGACAGCAAAATTTAGAGCTCCTGTTGACAGGGGGGAAAAAAAGAGCTTGTTTGGCCACTACATTATTTTCTTCATCAGCAACAAAATATTACAGTGACTTGACAGACAAAAGAACAACCTTTGACAAAGAAACCCAAAATCTACAAGAACAGACCCAAGGAAAAAAAACCTGCAAACTTCAAGCAAAAATACTGTAATGACATGTTATTTCTTTTATTCTTTTCTTAGCTTTCATTTTTCGGAGTACTCTTCATTAAACAGGCTTTCAAGTATTCATTGTGACCCACATATAAACAACTAAAGACTAGTTCCTTTGTTTTTGTGAAGATGAATGACAACATGCAATATCTCAAACTGAAATGAATAGTGCTGAGTTAAGTGTGATGACTCCTAAGACTAACTCTGTACCACAAATTCAATAAGTACTTCGTTCTTCCTACAGTTACGACATGTGAGTTGATTAAAGTAAGAAGTTATGTCGTAGATCTACAAACCAAGCACTATTCTTTCACATATATACAACTTACACCATCAATAATATTTCTTGAAACTGTGAAGTTTTGCAAACACCCAGGATAAATAATGCTATGATAAATCCCACATCACCAAAAGAGTGCACAAATGGGAGTAATATGAAACAAAGTCAAAACTGAAGTGAATTCAAAAACGTGAACTTGCAGCAGCTGAAATCTGAAGTGGTGCTCAACAGATCAATATGACCAATAACAAACAGTAAAATAGTGGCAAAATGTGAAAAAAATACAATTGGTATTCAAGACCAACAACTATAAAAAATGACGTTAACGTCACTAAAAATGATTCAAGTTGGAACAATATAGCAAGAGTCAAAGGATCCTATTGATAAATAATGCCCATTGCCAATTTTTTTCCAAAATGTTCCACAAAGTCATTGTTCATTTATCAATCTTTATTCACAAGCATGGGTGAGTCAGGTTCCTACAGGGCATGGACTTCACCACTGATTTCAACAGAGAGGCACCACAGGGTATTACAGCTCACCACACAAAACTATGACTTATTCACAAAGATGAATATATGGCATCAAGAATTACAAATGTGAGCGTGGTGAACAAACGTAATTATTTACAGAACTAGAGGGCCACAAAGGTTATGAAGCAGTCCAGATGGTCAAGGCCGACATTCACATTGAAAAGTCAAGTGTTCTCAACTGAAAAAAAGACACTTCCCACATCTATCTACAAGGAAGGCGACAACCAAATGGGACTGCCTTTTTCAATATTTCTCACAAAGAGCACAAATGGAGAGACAGTTTAAGACAGCTCTGTTGACAGTTCTGCCATCCTTATCATAAAGTTGTATAAACAGGATCACACATATCAAACGATTTCTTTGGGTTATCAATCGAGAGCTTTTCACATGTGGACCAAATTTTTTAAGCCTCCTTTAGACTAACTGCATTATGGAGTGTAAAAACGGAAACAATAGTTCAAAACTTCACCACTGTTATGATTTGAGCAAAGTACATTGCATTGACAAGTGAGAAAGCTAAAAAAGGATGTAGACAAAAGCCTTGATGCCATTTTCCTTAATTCACCAGATGCTGGTTCATTCAACTATACAGTACACATTCCTCATCAAGATTGCAGGCAAATAAAGCCATTTGAATATTTAGACACAACTTTTCATATATATATATTCATCTTCTTTCCTCTCAGTCTTCTCATTCCTTTTGAAGTTTTATTATCACTCAATTCTACCTTCACAAATAAAATCCTCCAAACATAACTAGATCACAGGAAAAGACATTATAGCTATTTCTATTTTCAAAAAGTGTTATCACACAACAATCCCATCATAGAGAGCAGGAAAAGAGTGTTATCTTTTACAAAACATAAATCAAGAAAGTTAGTGGCGTAATAGTTAGGCTCTCGGACTAGCAACCGTAAGGTCAAGTGCTTTGAACCCCATCGGGGACTCAACTTTATGTTCTTGGGAGAGACGAGACACTTTACACAAATATTCCTCGCTTCACCCAGCTATAGATGGCGTAAACATACTGTCTGTCAATGCAATCAGAAGTTTGCACTGAATGTTTCCCACGAAGCCGAGAATGTTTCTGAAAGTTCTAGTCCTACTGGAGTAATAATAGTTGTTAAGTGTACAGTGCGTAGCACTTAATATAAATGCAAATACTGTTATTATCACAATAGTCCCCCATTACTTTTGGCAAATTCTGAACTACATCAAAATGAGAAGCACCAAAACTACATACCCTTCTACCAAATAAATAAATGAAGAGTGTGCATGACTTTCAACTCATTACTTTCATAGCAAGATGCATGGTGTTAATGTAACAGTAATACATTGCGTTTTCTTAGTGAAACAAATTACATTAAAACTATTATTTTCCTCTTATCTACCATTTTTTTTCATAACTTGAAGTTTCTACTTTGAAAGATGTCTTGACAATATAAGTATATAAAACAATCTGCTCACCTAAACTAGCAAAACAAAACTCTTACACAAAAATATCAATAGTATAAAAAGGGATTAGTGATATTATTTCGTTCAGCGACAAATACTAAAGTGCATATCTGATATCACATTGGTTTGTTTTCATAGCTGTGCAGAAAAAAAAACATGTCTGTTGACACCCTTGAAGAGCCAAGAAGAAGTTTCAAGCTAAGCTAGTGGTGAGCCATTTTGGCATAGAGGTTGTCAGCGCTGTTGTCCATGCGAGCAGTAGAGGACTCGTTGCTTTTTTCATGCTTTTTACGAGCCGCTCTGTGAACCTTTTCCAAAAATTCGTGTACACCTGAAATACAAGAAATATCAAAATTAATGCCAGATAAACATCTCTCTGAATTCTTACTTTCTTTCTTCTTTTTTGGCAACATTATATTTCCCACACTATTCTAGGTAATGAAGCAATGTTATTGTGTCGTTTAGTGCATTTCACCAACAACAAAAAAGTAAAGTGGACTAGTAAAAAATGTAAACATGACCTTTCCAACAGCAGCTGACACTGTAAGATTAAATCATCAAGTACATTATGCTATACATAATTTCCAAGTAGCTGGTCAAGGAGCACAGTGAGGGCATTGAAGTAAGAATGGAGAGTAGAAAGAAATGCCAGCAGAGAGCCAGAAAATGCATGAAACATGAAAAAGATAAAAGGAAAAAAACGTCAGCAAGGGAGACAGTTGATTCTCTAGATTCCTTCTTTACATTCACAGACAAACATCAACAGCAAAGACAAACTCTCAGCAGTGAATAGTTAACTTCTTGCTCAAAAGGAAAGAATGTGTACAGCACATTCCCTTTGTAGGTACTTTTAGCTAAGATACTTCATTCATTATACATTGATTCCAAATCTTTGCTATATGAACTCAAAACAATTCTTGCACACATGGATAGACAGTTGGAGGCTCCCCTTTACCATTATGAGAACATCTTGCACTTGCCCCAGTAAATCTTTGACCTATTTTTGACTGTATGGACAGATAGAACATAGGTTTCCGTCTATCTCTTCATCCGAAGACAGTAATATTTTTAAAATGCATCATGACAGGCTGGAATCAAGCAACTTGTTCATTTGTTCTGCTTGAGATGAAAAAATACCCAACTATCTTGAATAGAAGTTGAGATATTTTCGATTGATGGGTGCTAGGGTTGCTTAATTGCAAAAGTGAAATTAGCAAGGAAATGACTGCCAAAATTTGGTGACTTCCCAAGCTTGAGTATCCTTGGAAACTGCTAGTTAATATTTTTATGCTTTTGATCTACATTTTTCTGAAAAAATCCAAACAGAAATATTTGTACGTAACTTAAAAGGTGTTGAATGAAAAAAAAAAATCAATTAAAATTGCAAACAGGCTGAAAAATGTCAGTTCGAGTTCGATTTCATTATTTAGATGAGCGCCTGATTTCACCAAAATGACACACACATATGATTACTTATAAAAACAACCATCCAAAAGAGAGCTGAGAGACCAACCCCATAAAGCACTAACCTGTGCTTGCCATCCAGTTGTAGCACACAGTGGGAAAGTTGGTTTGTGGATCGTCACAGTAGGTCATAACGTACTCAAACCCATTCTGCAAAATGAACAAGTTGAAGGGTGAGGGCACAACTTCTCAAATGTCTTTAGCTTTCAACAGGTACATAACCTGAGGCAAAAACAAACAAAACAAGACAGTTTTCTTTCGTAAAACATTTCTTAAAGTTGAGCTGGATTACAGGAAATAAGTTTGTTTTTTTAAAAGCACATGCATTCTCAAGCTTCAGTGAAAAAGAAGATTTCATAAATGTTTATATAAAGTTGTATTGTCCTTGTAGTTTTAAGAACATTATCAGTTATAGGCAAATATCATTATATGAGTATGTCAAAGAAAGCAGTTTTATATGATGTTGTTTGTATAAGTAAGAGTTTTACAGTATTAGGTCATGTGAGCTCACGAAACACAAGTTCGTTGCATTCACAACAGTTCACTGCTTGGGTTAATGATCAGATTTTAAAATGTTAAAAACTTGAGGAAATATAATCTAAAAATGATAACCTGCTTAAAGTCAAAATAACTGTATTTACAATTTTCTGTCAAGGATTCTGTTGGGATCTGCTTTTCTTTTTTTCTTTTATCCACCGCTTATACCCTTTTAGATGTCGCGAGAAGAAAGAGACGTCTCTCTGTGGCCAGCAGGAGAGCTTGTTAGTGTTTCCCTGACTCCATCTATCCAGGTCTCTCTCGGTCGCCCTCTAGCCTTGTTGCCATTGAATTTTTTTATGTAAGCACGTTGTGCTGGATGGTGTTTTGGTAATCGCATGAGATGCCCGAACCACTTGATTCTTTGGTGTTGGTTGTGATGCATGACATCATTTGTGCCAACCATTTCTCTGATTACTCTAGCATCTGCGTTTGTCGCAGCCGCGACCGCGATATAGGACTTTTTTGGTTCGCGAATAGCGGCAGCGATTTTGGCATTTTTCCAACAAAAAACTACCGCCGGGAAAAAAATATACTTTAAAAAAAAACAACAACAAAAAACAACAACCGGAGAATAATAATATTCGTGAAAGGAAAAATAAACCGAACCTCTTTAATTTTAAAAAGAAAGTTTATACTTGTGCTTCACTTCGCTTCTTTCTCACTTGTTAACGTTGATTTGTAATTTTCATGTGAAGAATATAAGTACATTATATACTATTTATATTGCTGTTTCTCTTTCATGTTTCCCTCTTTCTTGTCAGGGCTCCCCTTTTCACGCCAACTTAAGAGGTTCCTTCACCCTTTGTTTTACTATCTTAAGGGGTATTTAAACCCTTCTTTTAGAAACTCAAAGGGTAAAAGTCAATATCTCATAATTTTAGGGTAAGTTTTTTTGCTTAAACATTTAACTCACACGCACATTCACACAGACACACACAGAGTGACCATGACTATGATTAAATGCTAACGATGTTTAATTACCTTTATGAAATAAATGAGTAATATTGACTAGAATTAGAGTAGTGTCCATTTAGAGGGGGGGTGAGTGGTGGTAGATGAGCAGTTGGGCCTATCAAAAATAAAATAAAAGTTGACAAACCAAAAGGGGTCAATTCCGACTGTAATACACCAAGAAAAATAGGCCTGCCCCTCTATGAAATCTAAAAGTCAGGATCTCAGCAGGGAAAAAAATTGGGTCTTGGTGAAAGAAATCGGGATCAACGACAAATCACCCAGGTCACTGCAAAGCTGACTTTAAAAATTTCCAGGGGTGTCCATTATTATATCCATGTATATTCCCTCTGCGCGCCCGCGCGTGTGTGTGTGTGTGGTGTATGTGTGTGCGCGCGAGCGCCTGCCTGAGTGTTTTATCTTTTTTTAAATCCTGAAGTATCATGTCAAGCTCTCCTAGTCCAAGTATTATACCCCCCCCCCGGATAAGTCCCGAAAGACGCTTCAACCGGTGCGCATGAACTTAAACTGACCCCGTCGATGGACCGTCTCTGACCTAGTCCCCGACACACGCGGAACTCACACGCCGAAGTCATGTCACATGGTGCGAACGCGCGATTGAAACAATTCTACTGACGGGTCTTGATGACAGGCTCAACTAACCAGAACTCGAACAAAGCATGTTTTGGCGAAAGTAGATCTTGAGAATGTCTTAAGAAGACATGACGTGTGTTCAATGTGTAATCGAGTCAAAATGACTGTCTCTTCTGAAGAGGCCCAAGGTTTTCCTGGACCCAGTTTGGGCTTAAAATTATGTAGTTTGTTGTCGGTTTTATTCTTCCAATGAGTCTCCCACAGACATGACGTTTTTCTCTAATTTACATAAAATGGAAAGGAGAAAAGAAACATACCTCATCAAACGTTGTGTATGGTTTGATGACCATCTGTGAGGTGTAAGTAGCAACGCGGACGCACGATGAATCCTCTGGGCAGCTCGGGTGCTGGGTGGCCTTAGCAGTTATCACCATGGTGTTGGACTCTTGATCCAACTGGACATTGGAAAAATTACAATATATATGTCATCCACACAAAAAACAATAAATGGAAAAAGGAAACAAGTCCAAAGAAATAATGCAAGAAATTAGAATTTCAAAAACAGTACCTTTGAAATCATGTTCCAACCTCACAACTGTCAAAATATAAATTAATTCATACAAAACAGAAACAAAAAGAAAAAGGGATGAGAGCCTTGAAGCAAACCAAAGCCATTCATGTGAATATGATTATCATAAGGACAGTAAGTAACAAGTCGAAAACATATTAGTTCATAATATTGTCAGGGCATTAAGTCTATCAAGCAACTTCAAATGGACTCAAAACAACATTGATCATTGAGTTCAGACAGACTGCATGTGTGATAACTGGTAACAATAATGGGGGAGGGGGGGGGGGTGTTGTTGATAGCATGCCTGCAGGTAATTATGTAATATGCTGAACCATCGAGCCAAAGTACTTGCATGCACAGTTGGATAGTAACATTGGATTTTTTCCACTTTTTCTCCCCCTTGAATTCTTGTCAAAACTGGACCGAAAACCTAGTTTTCTGGGATAAATATTCAAAGCTTACAGGTTAAGCCTGTGAAAGGCACCTTGGCAGCTAAAAGTCCAAAAGCAGTCACGTCCTGGTCCTTCCCAAATTTAAGAAATGCTTGTCAGAAGAATAGAACACTAAAAACACCTGCTACAATGTCATGTGGCTACCAGAAAAGCAAAGGAAATAAGACTCTAGCTGACACACTTGTGAAGAGAAGAGCGACACCAACACTTATTCTGTCTCTAGGCTATCAAGAATAGTGAGGTGGGGAAAAAGGTTTCCCAAAGAGCAGACCCTCTTGATTATTGAATAAAAACTGGGTTCTGTCAATAAGATACAAAACAAAATAAAAACCGTAGAGCTGTTCAAGAGCAAAAACATGACAAGTCGGTGATATAAGTGAAAATTTTCCAACTCAAATCACTGAAACCCAAGTGGGTACAGTTTTAGAACTTTCTGACAAATTTTCATCTCCAGATCATGCTCTAAAGCTCATGTTACATCCACATCTAGAATGCCAACATAAAACTACTTACTGTGTATCTTCGAACATAGACATAGTCCCTTGGATACATGGGATACTGAAATAAAGAATTATGAACTCTAAAGATCTAAGATAATCAATTTATGTAAACATTTTTAAACCAAAAAAAAACAGCAACAGGAAACTCTACACAATCTTTACTCCACTTCCCAGACAAGCAAAAAAGGTGCTGCACTTGAAATATAAATGTTTTCTCTGTACAGCCAGCTCAATGGGGCTCTGACCAAGCTGTATTTTAACTTAATGAGCAAAAACAAATTGTGACAAAACACCTCATTGTTGTCAACAGCATACATAAAATGCTGTTTATATTTTCAACAAAAAAATTAATTTCACTCTATACTGCTGACTGCTACTCTACCACACAAAGCTTTTAAACAGATCTAGCAAGGGCTGTACGGTAATATATATATACAAACAGACCTTACAAAAGAATCAAAGACTTTGAAAGGAGAGGGAGGTGAAAAAAAAGAGGAATCAATGAGAAAGTAGAGAAAGAATAAATTGTACAAAGAGAAAAAAAAACAGAACAAAACAAAAAAACTTACAGGAAACTTGTATACCCAGTGAACAACTTCTGAGGTGGACTCCTTATCTTTTTCCACAACCCGCACATCAAGAGTATTTTTGTCCCAATCCTTCCAGTATGCAAGATCCACCTAGTCAGAAAAACAAAATAAGTCCCAACAGCAAGTTAACAACAATCACAGCCATATAATGCGTATATTTACAAGATCATGAACAAATATATGTATATATATCAACATACATACAAAACTAATACAAAATTGCAAACGCACTGTTCCAATGAACAAAAGCAATATATATTTGTCCTTTAAAGAATAAATATAATCATATGGCTAGAATAATAGTATCTCCCTGAACATTGCTAGGTAATCTTGCAATCTCTCCCAAAACATGCGTTTTTCCACTACCTTACTATCACAACCAACATGGGATCAAAATCTCATTCATTTTCTTTGAAGCATTTGATCAGTGCATAAACAAGAAGAGGATAAATAGAAATCTTTGAAGAACATTATTCTAAGGCGATCTTAATCTGGGTAATAAAGTTAAAAGCTTGAACAAGGAAGTCTCATAATTACAATAACAACATCAAAAAGCATAATAAGAACACAGCTCTCTACCTGTGTGTTGTAGAATGCACGAGAGGGGATGTCAGTAAAATGCCCATAGACTGAAAAAAAAGCAAAAGAAGCATTCATTAGTAAAAATAATCAGTCAAATAACAGAAATTAAAAATAAACAACTGACTGGACAAACACAGCATAATTTGCTTAATTCAATCAATAAATGATTAACTGCATACCCATGTACTAATGAAATTCCTTAACCATTTTCCCTTGCATGACTTCTTTAAAATTTGAAATGATTCGGGAAAAAGTGCTCATGTGTTGATATGGCTTGACTAAAAAAAATACCTACTTAAATCGTTGAGCTCTCGAAGGAGTGATTTTTAAGTCCATTCTGGCCAAATGATAAAATGATTAATCATTTGTTTCTCTTTTTTAATTCAAAATTTTATTCAGAGAAATTTAGTGAAAATTGAACTCACAACACCTTAAAAACAAAAAATAACCTTAAAAACAAAAAATAACCTAAAATTTCCTTTCCAAAACAAAACTTACGGCAAAAAATGTGAACTGGATAATTTTAAGTCAGAGTCAAACAACTTTTACTCCTACTCATAAGCATAAGTACAGGAAAATTTCTCTGCCTTCACTTTGACACAATGTGAATACTTAAGGGTAAAAAAAATCAATATTGTCTATTCACCTTCTTGTACCTCTGTTTGGCACCATTTGAACTGCTATATATATATATATCTCGCTTATAAAATCTCTTCACTAAATTCACAGGGAATTTGCACATGAGTCTGAAATGCTATTGACCTACAGGAACTGATTTTTGTCCTGCTAAAATCAAAGCCGTTACCGATTATCTCTTTGTTTATTGTAAATTAAAAAAACAACTTCGCTTACAGAACACAATCAAGAATAATTTACAGACCGACCTAAGCTACTGTGGGCTCACCTTTTCTCAATGCGTGCTCATATGACTTTATGCAGTTGCGAGCGCCGTAAAACCTCAGCTAAAACTTTTAAAAACTCAATGCTGCATGCTTTTTCTTTACCTGCCCCACAAACCTCTAAAACATTTCAGCCTTGTGATATTAAAAACAGATCAAAGAAATTCACTGCTGTGAAAAAACAGTTTTGTTTTAATAAGTGTTTCACAGTACTTGCAAAACAATTAGGTCATTTAAGAGCTGAAGATTAAACGTATTACAAGACAGTTGAGTAACACTAAAAAGGAGGAGTGACAAGGACAACAGATGTTCGATAGGAAAGGAGCAAACCATAGAGCACCCACAAGCCACCCACAAATAAACAGTTTGACAGCAGATTGAATGAAAGACATGGAAAACAAATCAGTCAAAATATAAAACGACGCAGAAATGACCAGAAACTGTGGGCATTGAGAAAGTGAATACACTATACTAGCAACAGGTACACATCAAGGACTTAACATCTACACCCAACAGACAGACCGAACATACCTCTGTACTGGTAGAGCTGTGTCTCAGGAACAAACCTCCTCCAAACCATGAAGTGTGCACGATCTACAACTTGTTCCCATTCACTCATCTCTGTGCATGCCTCAGCTTCTTTTTCTTGCTTCTTGTGACTCCATTCAACCAGCTTGTGCACTGCTTCCATTTCCTCCCGGAACCTTAAAGTTGGAGAACATATTAATGCACATGAGATCATTCAGAATAAAAACACCACATGGACTTAAAGTGATCCAAGGTTATGACCAAAGGTTGAGAAATACAGAGATCCCTACTAAAGCTACCCGCAACAGTGGATACATTGATTCCTACCAAAGAGGCACCAAGCCCAGGAATGAAAAGCACAAACGAAGCCATTCACACTTTTATTCCCATGTCGTGTTCATCACAAAAGATCACCACATAACAGCAGCCTGAGCTGGAGAGTACAGCTGTCTATGACTGGAAGAAAGATCTCTATACCCCCTGTGAAGCATGGATAAGGATCTACACAGATGGGCCTGCCACTGATGCCATGAAAAGAAGAAGTTATAGACCATGCCAAGCAGAGGCAATCCCAACCGAGTAGCATTGTACTACAAGGCAGTGGAAGCTCTCATGAACAGCAAACATCATTCACGTATTTGATAGACCCCCAAAATCAAACATTTTTCCGCTGACGGTTGCAACGTCACCACTGCAATTACTGCTGGCAAACTCCAAAGGGAGCGAGAGGCAATGGAGGGCATCCTATGCCTGAGGATCAAGCAGCAGTGGATACTTTTGCACTACGGTGTCTCAGAAAAAAAACAAAAAACAGGCAGATTGGAAGGCACAATTGTGTGTACAGAAAGAGAAGTCAAGCAGCAGCATCACCTGCCCAGGGGTGAAAAGCCCTCATGGAAACAATGAATTTAAAGCACAACAGGTGCCAGATAACTACCGTGAATGAGATTATTCAGATGTCCTGTCGAGAACAAGTGATTATCTTCAGACTAAAACACAATACACTATACTATATTCAAATATCACATGCACAGATATTTAATAAAACTTGTAACATGTACAATCACCAAAATGTCAGCGTAAGGAAGCAGACCAAACTCAGGAACACATTCTCCAGTAGTGCCACACAAAGACAGCCCAAAGACATGAAATGTGGCCAAACAGCATTAACACTACACATGAGAGGCTTACTAGTTGCAGTAGATAGCTAAGATAGTAATAAGTGCCCGATTTCTAAAACAAAACATTAACTAACTCAGACTTCGGTCTTTCACTACTCACTGAACACAACCCAAAACCTGGACACCTTTCCCAATCTAATCATAGGTGAACTTAAATTCAACATGGAAAAGTGAGTAACAGAAAATTGAGACATGCCGGAAGGAGTTCCGCAGAGGGCAACAACACCAAACCCTAACCCTAACTTTAACCCTAATCCTGAACTCTTGTTTTATAGTTTGCTCAGTAGACCTTGTCTCAGCAAGTGCTGGCCCTCTTCGGAACTCCTCCCAAGACATCATTGAAATAGGATAGGCCTAGGGCCCAGGGTTAAAAATATAAAAAATGACAATTTAATTGGCATTCTCCAGATTTGGCCCCAAGAGTACTGAAATAACGATACTGACATAAATACTGGGTATTTATGTTTTATAAGACGTGCAGTCCCGGCATTGAGAAGCATAGGATAGACGTGATGTTACTATTGTTAGCGTTTCGTAGGAGGAGCCTAATGGCGAAACCAGGAAGTGACTCCCGAAACAGAGTCATCCTCCCTCCAGGTCGGGGGTTGAGTCACGAGACTAACAACCTCTCTCGTAAAAAGAACCTACTACAGAAACACATACAAGCAAAAACCATTATCTCTGTTTGGCTGGTCGTGGATTTTCTCAGAATGGAGAGTTTATGATGCGAGGCAGTGAAAGCCGAAAGGAAACGGCTGGGCAGAAGCCTCCACCATCATCCAAGTTTCTCTGGATTGGATCGTGGAACGTTAGGACCCTTTACAAGGCTGGAAAAACTGCACAGGTCCTCCAAGAGATGCACCAATACCACCTACACATTCTGGGAATCAGCGAGACCCACTTGAACCAGTCTGGACAGAAGGGAATGAAAGAGGGGGGGCTTTTCATTTTTATTCAGGAAATGACAGTGTATTGAACCACACAGGGAAGGAGTAGGGATGATCATATCCAAAACAGCACAAAAGACATTCAGGGGTGGGAGGCGCACTGTCCAAGGATCATCATGGCCTCATTTGGAACTAAAAAAGAACTCAAGGAAAGAGAAGCCTGAAGAAGGTCATAAACATGAACATCATACAAGTGTATGCCCCAACTTCTACAACCGCCTGCAGAATGTGATCGATGAACTTCCAGGTAAGGACATCAACATTGTCATGGGAGACCTAAATGCAAAGGTAGGTTCGGGCAATCGTCACTGTGAGGAAATCATGGGCAGACATGGATTAAGAGAGGCAAACTTGAACAACAGAGAAAGATTCCAAAACTTCTGTGTATTCAACAACTTGGTTATTGGAGGAACAATCTTCCCACATAAAAGAATTCATGAGGCCACTTGGGTCTCTCCGGATGGAACAAAGGAAAACCAGATCTTATCATTTTTGCATTTTCCGAAAGTTTAGACGCTCACTGGAGGACGTCTGAGTCTTACGAGGAGCAGACGTCGCATCAGACCACCATTTGATCCTTGGAAAGATGAAACTGAACCTGAGAAGATGCACAAATCTCAACTGGAAGTCGCCAAAAGTATGAAGTGAGCCTTCTGAAAGACCCAGTAAAGAAGAATGAATTCAAGTTGGAACTGAAGAACAGATTTCAAACACATCAAGATCTGGATGACTGTGAAGTAAACGAACACTGGGACAAGATAAAAGAGGCAACTTAGGCAACTTGCCAGAGCATCCTAGGACCCAAAGTCAACACTAGGAATCGGAATGAATGGATTTCACAGGACTTCGACATAATCAAAAGAAGAAGAGAGCTGAAGGCCCAAGTCAACAACAGCCGTACCCGAACTGAGAAACTCGCTGCACAAGAGTACACCGAAGTAAACCGGGAGGTAAAGAATTCCATCTTGAAGGACAAGAATACCTACCTGAACGGCCTGGCCGAAAAGGCAGAGAAAGCAGCAACAGATGGACACTTGCAGATTGTACATCAGACAACAAAGACTCTTTCAGGTAGGTTCAGCAAGCCCACTCTACCAGTGAAAGACAAAGTGGGAAAGACTTATTTTCAACCCAGAGGAGCAACTGAACCAACGGAGAGAACACTTTATCAACTCTTGAACAGACCACCTCCAGAAAACCAACCAGAAATTCTTCCAGCAAGAAATTACCTCCAAATCACTACGGAACCACCTTCGAGAGAGGAAATTGCTGCAGCTATAACAGCACTAAAGTCCCACAAGGCAGCTGGTCCCGACCATATACCACCGGCAGATATAAAGATACATCAGTGGAAATTCTCTATGCTCTATTCGAAAAGGTTTGGCAAGAGGAGGAAATACTATCAGACTGGAAGGAAGGCTACCTAATCAAGCTGCCAAAGAAAGGAGACCTCAGCAATTGTAACAACTACAGAGGCATAAAACACTCCTGTCTATACCTGGGAAAGACTTTAACAGGATATTCCTGGAGAGATTCAAACTGGCAACAGATGAGAAGCTCAGAGGAAACCAGGCAGGATTCCGCAAGTACCGATCTTGTGTGGACCAGCGCATCATTGTTGAGCAATCGCTTGAATGAATTTCACCACTCGTGGTCAACTTCATTGATTATAAAATGAAAAGGCATTTGACAGCGTAGACGGGGAAACTGTGGAAACTCATGCGGAATTATGGAATACCTGACAAAATCGTCAAGCTTGTGAAGACCACCTATGATGGAACAAACTGCGAAGTCTTCGACGAAGGACAACTCTCAGAACCATTCCAGGTACAGACAGGAGTGCGACAAGGACGCTTGCTCTCACCTTTCTCTTCATACTGGCAATTGGCTGGATCATGAAGGAAGCCACCAGAGGCAAGCGAAATGGAATACAGTGGATCCCTTGGCAGCAGCTGGACGACTTGGACTTCCCCGATGACCTTGCACATGCTCAGAAGCAGGAAAAGACCAAAAAACTCAACAGCCTATCAAGGAGTGTTGGCCTATGAATACACCCGGGCAAGTCGAAAGTAATGAAGCTAGGAAAAGTGTCAAGTCTTGCAGTGACAGTGGAAGACACTCCTCTAGAAGAAGTGGACCTACCTTGGAAGTGTCATCGATGGTAAAGGTGGAACTGAGATGTAAAGCAAGAACCGCCAAGGCAAGGTCAGCATTCAAGCAATTATCAAAAGTCTGGAAAACAAGCAACATGATACATTTCACTGCGCACCAAGATTCGACTCTTTAATTCCAATGTCAAGTCTGTGCAGTGTGCTCCTCTAGGGCTGCGAAACTTGGAAGACAACAAAGACAATGCTGAATAAAGTCCAGACTTTCATTAACAGATGTACGAGGAGTATCCTAGGAATTAAGTAGCAGGATAGAAATAAGAAATGAAGAGCTGGATAGAAGTAGAAATAGTTACTAAGAAAGTGGTGTTGGATGGGACCTTCAGAAAGCCCAGCGGAAACATCACAAGACAGTCACTGCAATGGAACCCACAGGGACACGAGGCAGGGGTAGGCCACGGGAAACATGGAGGAGATGTGTAAGAAAGGGACATGAGAGAGATGAAGCTCACGTGGAACGAGCTAGGAAGGATGGCCCAGGACAGAGATAAATGGAAGGAGCATGTATGTGGCCTAGACCCTGCCAGGGGTGAAAGGCACTGATGATGATGACTGATGTTTTATCCGAAAGAGCAAGATATGCCCTGCTATTTTTCAGTACAAAATGAGGAGTAATATTTCACTAGTTTTTAACAAGGGGGGTTCAGCCGGGGAGGCATGTCCCCTGGCCCTGACCTGATAAAACTATGGGGGGTTTCAGGGGGGGCATGACTCCCCCTACTTAAACTTAAACTTTACTCTACAATTTGATATTTTGCTCGCCGCCTGTCAAACATTGTGTGTATCGGCAATTCGGCATGTGCAGCAAAATTATCAGATCTATTATTATGTAATCGTTTCGAACCAGAAGTAATCGGTGGAGCCAAAACCCAAACTCCATAAAGTTATTGTTGGGGCCAAAACCGGATTATCCCATTAAATTATGCTACACAGATTAGACAGACAAAAGTTGATATTGGATAGTCACTGATAGTGATAGTCTACCTTTGAATATCTTCATCAGGAACTCTCTCCTTCTCCCATTGAAATATGCAAGCAGACAGCAATGCTAGCAACGGACGACCATTACGATGTACATTCATTTTCACCTTCTGCATCAAAAGACGTTCTCCATATATTCGTTGATACAACAGCAAAATCTGATAGGCTCGTCTCAAACGAAGTGCTGCAACCCGATTACACTGTTGCGTCAGTGCCATTTCCAATACATTTAACTTTGTGCCGATGTTCAACATAACCGCTCGAAGTTTATCACTTGCATTCTGGCCAAATAGAAACTTGGTAGTTCTATTTCCCCAGCTCGAAAAAGTCTTCGACACACAGCGTTTACAAAGTGATGAAAACTGAGGAGAGCTCACGTTGTTGGGGCCGAAGACCCCAGTCCCTGTTGTAAAAAGTTTTCGGAAAGCCATTTCAGCAAAACAACATGAGCATCAAGTTCAATATAAACCAAAAGATTGTAGATCTAGATCTAGATCTAATTGTCCCCAGTATTTATGAAATACACGGGCTGCAGACTCTCAGAGAACAATGGGTCCGCTGCCAAAAATCAAGTTTTATCTTATTATTGTACCACCACTCTTCTTTGATTACTCTTGACTTGCGGCATGGACCAAACTCCCATGATGAAAAGCCATGACCTTCACTTCGTAATTGTGTCGCAAAAAGTAGTATTGTATGTTATTGAATAAAACAAATAAAAGATTTTAATAAAAGTTTTGGGATGTAGGAGAAAGATTATTCATTCTAAAAATAAAAAAATTTGTTCAATTAAAATTTTAATTGAACTGGACAAAGTAAGCATATGTATTTATACAATTTTCTAGGACTAGACCTAGGCCTAGATCTAGACCTAGGCCTATCCAAGACAATGATAGTACATAACAAGATGGGCCACTTCTCTCTTTGAGCCAATTAAAAAAGTGTCCTCAAAATTTGGTGGCGCCCTCTTCACAAAAGCGCACTCTTTGCGAACAGAGTTACCCTACTTGAGTTTTAAAAAATCAAAGTGAAACTAGCAAGTTTTGGGATAAATTTCGGAAGAACGCTTTTTTTAAATGGTTACGCTGACAAAAAACCTCTTCCGGAGGAAAGGGTGATGGTTTTCTTTGTTTAATTTGACTTTAGAGTGAAAGGCGAGAGGTCATTAAAATTTAAAAAAAACTAAAACTCCGCACTGAACGTACCCGAACTGCTGATGAACAGCAGTCGATCTGCGCACGCAAGGAGGTGCTATTCCTATTCTTTTTCTGGAAAAACGAAAGAGAGCTTCAAAACAGACTGCAGCGCCATCTGAAGCAAAGAGCATACTTCCTGCGGACACTTTTTTGGCTGAGTGGCCCATCTTGTTATGTACTATCATTGTCCAAGATCAGCGAGCAAGATCCCAAAAAAAATCCAAAAGCTGTCGGAACATCTCAATTTCACGAAACAAAAGATGTTAAAACCGACAAGATCCCAACAGAGACCAAGCCTGGCAATGCTCTCTGATATGATCCCACCACCACTGAAGAGCAAAAGACCCTAGGCTCTGTAGATCTGGATCTAGGCCTACTACTACTAAACTAGGCCTGCAGCATGCATGAATAACGCACAATATATCACAAACATAGATAATTCACAAATCATTTCTGGTCGCCATGGTTCTGCACCCTGTGTTTTTTTAATTGTTGTTTGTTTTTTGTGTTTTTTTGTGGGGAGGTTATTATCTTGTCTTGTCCAAGCAAGGACACGCCTAAAATTATTGTACGCCTGAGATCAAAGTGAGCTCCCTACAACTTACATGTATTTGGGGACTGTTTGCTTTCTTCCGTGCTGTTCTATCAAAACTAGATCTATACAAAAGAGCAGATGCTCATGCACACTCTTTTAAAAGTGGAATTAGGAAACACTGACGTTTTGTGTGTGGTGTGTTATGTTTGTCTGTCTATTAGCCTGTCTCTCTGTCTGTTTGTCTGTCTGTTTACCTGTCTCTCTGTCTGTCTGTCAGTCTGTCTGTCTGTCTGTCTCTCTCTATCTCTCTCTCTCACACACACACACACACACACACACACACACACACACGCACGCACGCACGCACGCACGCACACACACGCTAGATCTATTTGTACATGTGATGTGTTGCACCGATAGACTTATTCCCCGATAAAACTGTCTGGCCGTAAGCTATGTTATAATTTTCAGTTTTAATTAGAGCAGCGATCCGAGTTTTATTTTTCAAAATATATTTTTAAAACCTCTGGTTTAGAGCAAAATGTTAGAATGTCCCAAGCACCCATCCCATAACAGAAGAGTGCGGGATTATGCCAATGCTGAAGAGCTTCTTTAGCTGTCGGGGGGG